AACGGGAGGGAAACTTCTTGGAAGCCGAGGAAGCAAGGCGATCTGCCTGGAGCACAGAATGAGAGTAGGGGCATGGAACAACGGGAGTGAGGATGCGGAGGGCGTGGGAGGTGGAGCAGCAGGGTCTCAGGGGCACCTGAGGGTCCAGAGTGGAGCCTGAGAGGCATGAGGGGGGGAGGCTGATCCGGGGGAACGGGGGGGCGGTATAGCAGCATGTTGAAAGGTGGGAGATCAAGGATGAGGCGAGCTGTGGGAGTCACCAGGGGGGAACGAGCCCGACCCGGAGGGAGAAGGGGGGACGGCGTCGTGCCGACGAAGGGCACGAGACTGGGAGGGTAGGTGGCTTGGAAGCATCGGGAAGAGGGGGGAAGAGGGGTGTTGTGAGCTGAGACAATGAAGGGTGAAACAGACGCGACAGGGGTGTTAGAGAGGGAGCCAGGGCGGTCCAAGAGAGGTGGCTGGGGGCCCGATAGGCTTCCCGAAGCACAAGGCCACGCGCCAGCAGTGGCTAGAGAGGGGGTGTGAACGCACAGGCGTTGGCCACAGCGATTCACGAGAGTGGGCTGGCAGCCTGATCGGCATTCCGAGCCCGAGTACCATGCACATAGGCAGGGGTGTTGAGGTGAAATTGGGAGCAGCGAAGCGATAGAGAGAGCGTCATTGCAGAAAGGCAGAGAAAACGACTGATCATGTGGCTTGATACGATGCCGACTGAGAAAGGCTGGAGGGTGCGCGGTACTACTTACCTGAAGAGGGGAGTGAGAGTGGTTGCGCGGACACGCTTGGGGCTGCCACCGCTGCCAAAAATAGAAGTACGGCGAAGGTGAGACGCCAACGCAGTCACACAGAGAGCGGAAAGGGCGTTGCAGGGGGGCGTGCGGCAGGCTTTCCGTTCCGCAGGGGTGGCGCCAACGCGACTCGCGAAGGGGCGTCAGGGAGGCGAGGCGCGCGGTCAAGCCTCGTTGTGAACGACGGCATGCTTGACATAAAAATTGGGAGAGGCGTGAAGGGTGGGCGAACACGAATAGCGGAGCGATGAAAAGCAGCGCGTGCTTATGCGGCCGATTAACCGTCGGCGGCGCGAAGGCAGGAGAGGGCTTCCGGCAACTCTGAAATGCTCCGAGGTGGCAGCGAGAGCGAGAGCAGATGAGCGAGAGCGCGAGAGAGAAACTGAGAGCGAGCGAGCGAGAGCGCGAGCGTGAGCGAAAGGCGAAACTGGTCGGGAAGGCGTAGGGTGTTAGCAAAGGGCGGGTTTGGCCTTGGAGTTGCTACGACCTGAGCTCTGCATGACGGCGTGAGGTTAGGAAAGGATAGCGAGGTGAGCAGCGGAAGCAGACCGAAGAGGAGGACCAACTTACCTGACGCCGAAACGATGTCGAGTGACGGGAACCAGCCTGATCGGCGACGGTTTGACAGTCGAACGGTGGAATAGGCAAGTAAGCTGGGGCTGCGATTATCCGCGATAGGTAAGAACCTAGGTGTTAGCCTAGGTGGCGACATAGTCGGGGGGTAGGTGGCGGAGAGTGGAAGAGTCTGCAATGAGCTGTTCAGGGGGGGGTGGTGGGATGGGCGGCGTTGGAGATTCGAAACCTTCTGCTTTCGTGGATTTGTATACTGAAAAACGATTGCTATCCTTCGGCCTGACTTGTGGCTGGCACGTTGCAGAACGAAAACATTCTGACGACACTCCACGTCAGCTCCTTGACAAATCTCGAGGTTGTGCCATAGCAGTGGCCTCGCTGGCACACTCTGGCTGCCAGACAATCACCCTCTATCCAATCAGCAGGGAGCTATTGCCCAACGACCACCGACTTGTCTGCCCTCCGCAGGTGCTTGCCTGATCCGTTCTGCTCTCGTTTTGGCTGTTGGTTAGTTGGTGTGGCAGAATCTGTGTTACCTCCATCCCCTCACCAGAATCTGTGTTGGTTTTCCTACCTCCAACCAATCCCTCTCCTTGCTGAACAGAATTCCACTTGTCATTCTGTTCAGTGAAATTCAACGTTTCAGCATCTACGCTGTGCTCTCATCCTGGTCGTTGCCTCGTCTATCCGTCCATTCTGCCTCGTCGCGTTAGGACAGGTCCTCAGTCGTTCCGGCAGATATGGCACTGGTAGCTGTGGCTGCGGCTCCTGTCTCCGCTTCAACTGGAGCATTGGTGCAGCGCTCCTCGAGCGGGACAAATTCGAGCGCGGTCGCGTCGTCCCTCTTCCCAAACAGCACAAGAAACTTGAAATCAAACGCTACTTTCTTCCGGCAACGTCAAAATGGTCAGTTGGATGCCGGCCGTGAAAATCCTTTATACGCCCAATGTGCGTTCACCACGCCCGCACATCACATGCACAGCGATAACCTCTCGATAATCACTGCTCCCCGCCACATCTCTTGTCTTCCCCATTTTACGCTTCAGCGGCTGTGAGCAAGGCCAGCAGAGTGCGGGCGGATGCGGGGGACGCAGCGGCGCAGACGGCGGAGGCAGCGCCGCAGGCGACGTCGCGGATGATGGAGGTGGACAAGGACACCTTCTACCCCGAGCTCGAGAAAGCGGCGGCCGCTGACAAGCTTGTCGTGCTCGATATGTACACCCAGTGGTGCGTTCTTGTCACCCTAGTTTGCCATCTCCAAGAGCCCGACAAAAGAGTTAGTTTTTTCCCCCGCTCTACTCGACCGGCAAACTCAGGGTGATTCACAAGCGAGCTCAACGCCATCGCACCGCAACGCGCCGTAGGTGTCAGCTGAATGTTGTTCAAGCACGGCCCAACGGTAGCTTTTCTAACGGCCCAACGACCCAATGCTCTACCCATTCCCATGGCTGTACGGCAGGTGTGGCCCGTGCAAGCTGCTGGCGCCCAAGGTGGAGGCGTTGGCGGAGGAGATGCAGGACGTGGTGTTCCTGAAGCTGGACTGCAACCAGAATAACAAGGTGAGCCGTGTGGCTGTGACTGTAACGAGGGATGCAGGACGAGGAGTTCACGAAGCTGGATTTGCAACCAGAACCAGAAGGTGAGCATTGTGGATGTCCCTGTACTGAAGGGTGCGAGAAGTGGTGCTTGTGAGTTTGCGGATGGGGGGGGGGGGGGGGACTGCCCTGGTATTATTCAATAAGAAGGATCAGAAGAAAATGATTAGTTATATACCTTAAGCGCAATGTGATTCAGACCTTGTATGCAAGAAAGACGCAGTTACACTCCCGGCTATTCTGCCAAATTAACCCAGAGCAGCCGCTATCTGTACAAGCACCTCCATCCGCCTGTTATGCACATTCAATTTGCACAACTAACTTCACAAGAGCACAGGACCCTGCTTACATACACTTTTCATGGTTCTGACCCTTCGATCGTGGCTCTGACAGCCTCAGGTGTCATTATGCGCACATGCCATGTTTCTGTCTGCTTGTCTTGCGTGAGCAGCCTCTGGCGAAGGGCCTTGGAGTACGGTCTGTGCCGACGTTCAAGCTCTTCCGCAACCTGGCGCAGATTGATGAGGTGCAAGGAGCAAAATACGACCAGCTGGTTGAGAAGATCACCAAGCACCGATGATGCTGTGGTGATTCTGCCTACTGACTCGTGATGGTGTATTTGGCAATGGTGGTGACGATGCCTGCTTGAAGGGATGTATTTTGCTCTTAAAATAGAGAATAGTTGAGCAGTATGCAAATCAACAAAAAACATTACTATGGTATGTACGGTACTAAAATTGTGTGAACTTTTAGCTAAACTGTTACTAACTTCAGAACACCTGTCTAGACCGATCACTACCGTATAAGACCAGATGTTGAAGAATCTCAATTCAAGGCTCTCCGTTGCTTTGCTATGAATGATCCCTAAAACCACTCAAGTTTGCTTCTAAATTCGCATGCCACCCCGCCCGAACCTGGCTGCTTTTTCTTGTACACCCTGTTTCTCGCTACACTGAACTGCGGAAACACACTGAACAGTGGAACTGCTCCTTGGACGTATTCGAAAAGTTTACAGTTACCGTCTCTAGGAGGCGGCTGATCCGAAATTTCGTTACCGAGCCATATTAAAGCTCGCGTCTCATATTTCTGCCATCCAACCAAGTGTTAAACGGTTGGAATCCGGTAACAGCAGAGTTTGTCGCAAAGCACACCAAAGCAAGGGGTGGGTTGGGAAAGTTGGCTGTCGCACACTTCCCCGTGCACACCAAGTGTTAACAACTCTCGAAAATATGAGACTCTGAACTCAACGTTGACAGAACCCGGGACCAAACCTGTCCCCCTTGGCTCGTTTTCCACCCAAACCAACCCACCCTGGTTTGTTTTGGCCTCGACTGTTTGGGAGTTCGCTGTGTTTTTTTCACCCACTCGTCAAATAATTCGTCATTCGTTACCCAATCACAGACGGGAAAACCCAACCAAGTGTTAAAAGGTTGGAAATCTGAGACGCGAGCTTTAAAAGTTTAACCGACCGTCTTCAAAGGTAGCTGACCTCGTCAAACCGAACTGATGCAAAAGTTGACTATAGCGCGTAAATTGGCGCGTTGAGCCACAAGGTTCAGTATACCGGCATTTACAATAGCGAAAAACTGGGTGTAGACCAGCTGTTTCTCGCAAGCCATCGCCACGCCTCCCTCCTTGATGTCGAATCGTCGCCAGGAGATTCGCAGCCACCTTTGCCTTTTCGCCAGCTGTACTTATTGGGTCCCTACGCATCGCCTCAACCCTGTATCCGATTGAAGAACCAACCAACCGAACCAGACCAGATCAAACCTCAACTGGACCGCCAGACCAAGCTCAGCCAGGGCTGCGTCAATTTCTAGGGTTGCTGTCCGTTTCGTTTCATGGTTCTGTGTGGCTGTGGTTGTGGTGGCTGATGATGACTATGCAGTCAGCCTGCTATATTATCCGTTCTTGCAGTGCCTTCGGACTACGTGCTATGGTATTTGCAAGGATTATAATGGTCTAGCCGTTAATTATTTGTTCCAAAGTTCGACGGATACCATCTTTTAGGGTTTCGTCGGCTTGCGGCGGCTTGCAGGGCGAAATGCCCCGCGATGGCGACTGCGGGGACGCCACAGCGGATGGCGAAGGCGAACGGGAGAGGATGAACCCGTCTAAGCGCAGGAAATGCGACGTCGTCGAAGCTTCCGGCGTTTCGCTGCGCGATGCTAAAGCGTCGTCGGCCCCAGCCACGTCGGGTAACACAGCGTCGGCGAATAACACGCCAACAACTTCGCAGGATAAGCGGCGGGCGAAGACTCCGCAAACGGAGGAGGAGTACTCAGATGGTTCCTCTGATGAAGAACCTGACGAAGCACCTGACGAAGCACCTGGAAATGACGTGTCGAAAACGCAGAATGGAGGGAATCAGGCAGACAGCGCGCCTGGAAAAGCACCTGAAAAGGCACGTGGAAAGACGCCTGAAAAGAACGCCTCGGCGCCGCAGCCCAAGGATAAGGATAAGGCGAAGAACAGAGGGTATCTGGGAGTCAGGCAGAGGGCTTCTGGCCGTTGGATCGCGGAGATTAAAGACACGAACCACAAGATCCGCAAGTGGCTCGGAACGTTCGACACGGCGGAAGAAGCGGCCCGAGCCTACGACGAGGCTGCGCGGCAGATTCGGGGAGCGACCACCCGAACCAACTTCACCGCGCCGGACTCACCCACTGGAGGAAAATGCGGCGGCGCGATTAAGGGCTCCCAAGCGTCGGGAAACAGCAGTCTGCCGCCCATTCCGTGCTCCGTCGTTACGGACCCGGCAACCTCGAGGAAAACCCTAGACGATGTCCTTCGGTCGTTACCTCCCCCGCGCAAAGCTGGCTCGCTGCAAAAGTTCCCCCCTGCGCCTCCGCTCCCCCCTTCCGCCGTTGCCGCCGCTCTTTCCGCGACCGGATCCGCGGGGTCGGCACTAGCCTTCCCCCTGATACAGCCCCCTACGCGCCAGGGCTCTGCTAGTATTATCTCCTCCCCTAGCCCCTTCCCTACTTCGAGCTCTGTGGGAAACGTGGCTTCGGTTATTCTTAACGGTCCTGTTGCCGCCCTGCTGTCGAGTTTCGAGTCGCAACAGCAGCAGCAACAGCTGCAGCAGCAGTACGAGGCGCTTCAACACGAGCAGGATCAGCTGCAGGTGCGGAAAGGGCAGCTGCAGCAGCTGATGCAGCAGCACTCGCAGGGGCAGCTGCAGGGCCAGTCGCAGGCGCAGTCGCAGGGGCAGTCGCAGGGGCAGTCGCAGGGGCCGTCGCAGCAGCAGGGATCGTTGACTACGGCACTGAGTCCTAGCGACGCTCTGGCAGCAGCAGCAGCCCGGTTTCTCTCCGTGGCCTCTGCGGCCCGAGCTTCCACCCCCCCTCCTGACGCTGAAACTGCTGTTGCCCTCTCTCTCGCCCTTGCCGCCGCCGCTGCTCCCAACACTGCTTTACCAGACGCAACTGCTTCTAATGCAGCTGCTGGCACCGGCCTCATTAGAAGCCCGATTGCTGCGGCTATAGGGCAGACCAAAGCGTTCGTAAACGCGTTGACCCCCTCACCTCCTCCTTCCATCCTCACCTCAAGCGTCGCACAAGCAATGCGGTCCCTTTCCCCAGCACCACCTGGAGCAGCAGCAGCAGCAGCAGCAGCTCCCGCCAGCAATGCGCTACCTTTCCCCAACATCACCCTCCCCTCGCCTAGCAATTTCCGCCGCCCCTCCGTGCTTCCGCTCTTCCCCCACGCCTCGTCTGTGGGCAGCAGCGCGCATGAGTCCGCCTCTAGCGGCTTCCCCGTCCCCCTTCCGCGCTCCCCATCCATCAAAAAGCCCCTGCCCCAGAACCCCCTTCCGCAAAGCAACCTTTCCCAGAACACCCTTCCCCAAAGCAACCTTTCCCAGAACACCCTTCCCCAGAACAAGCTTCCCCAGAACCCCCTGACCCAGCAATCCAGTGTAGTGTCGGCCCAGGCTGTTGAATTTGCCGTCGCAGCAGCAGCTGCAGCAGCTAGTGCAGGTGGTGCAGGTTCAACTGGGGTAGGGGCAGTTGGGGTTGGTTCAACCGGTGCAGCTGCTGGTGGGGGAGGCGGTGGACTTGGGCAGTATCTAGGGCAGCAGCAGCAGCAGCAGCAGCAACAGCAGCAGCCGCAGAAGCAACAGCAGCAGGTAGCGACCAACCCCCTCTTCCCCGTGTTTCCCTCTTCCGGGTCTATCTCTTCCCCTGCGCGCACCTCATGGGCGCAAGGGGTGCTCTCGGGGGCGTTGACGGCGCAGCAGCAGGCGCAGATACAGCAGGAGATGCAGCGGTTGGAAGCAGGGCACAGGGGGGGTGCAACCGGTGCAGGTATATCTGGTGCAGGTGGCGCTGCTGGTACGGGCCCTTCCAGTGCGGTTTCAAACGGTGCTGGTGTTGCCGGTGCTGTTGGTGCTGCTGGTGCTCCTGCTAATGTCGCCTCAGCTGTTCCAACTGTTGGGACAGGGATGGCTTTTGGTGGCGTAGCTGGCGCTGGCGGGTCACATGGTGGGGGTGCTGGTTCAGGTGGTGGGGTTGTTGCGTCAGGTGGTGGGGTGGCGGCCCCAGGTGGTGGAAACAAGAAGACACTGAACGATGTTGAGCTCTTGCTGCTGCGCGCACTGTTCAATGCTTCCCAGATGCCAAACGCTCAGCAGCAGCAGCAGCAGCAGCAGCAGCAGCTACAAGAGCAACAGCAGCATCAGCATCAGCAGCAGCAGCAGCAGGCACAGCAGCAGCAGCAGCAGCAGCAGCAGCAGCAGCAGCAGCAGCAGCAGCAGCAGCAGCAGCAGCAGCAGCAGCAGCAGCAGCAGCAGCAGCAGCAGCAGCAGCAGCAGCAGCAGCAGCAGCAGCAGCAGCAGCAGCAGCAGCAGCAGCAGCAGCAGCAGCAGCAGCAACAGCAGCAACAGCAGGCACTACAGCAGCAGCAGCAACAAGATCAGCGGCAGCGTCTAGCACAGTTGTTGCTGCAGCAGTCAGGGCAAGCGGACAGGCCGACAGGGACAGGTGGGACTGGTGCAGGCGCATCTGCTATCAACCCCAGCAGCACGGTTGATATCACCAGCACCCGCAATGTGAGCAACACTCACACCCGCACCCTCACCCACACCAACAACGACGACAATGTCACCAGCAGCGCACACAAGCACACCAGCAACACAGGCAACACCCACACGCAGACACAGACGCACACAAGAAACACAAGCAACTCCAACACTCAAACGCAAACGCAAACGCACACAAGAAACACGAGCAACGCCAACACCAACACCCTCACGCACACAAGAAACACGAGCAACTCCAACACTCAAACGCAAACGCAAACGCACACAAGAAACACGAGCAACTCCAACACCAACACCAACACCAACACCCTCACACAGACGCACACGAGCGGCAGCAACGAGAGCACCGCCCTTCAATCCATCTCCATCCGCGCCCTGGCAGCCGCCATTGCAGCGTGGGGCAAGCAGTATGGCGTGAACGGGGAGGTGCAGGTGAAGCTGGGGGAGGGTGGATCTGGGGCGGGCGGCTCTGTGACCATCCATGGGCTGGCTGGCGGGCAGGCAGAGGGCACAGCTACAGGAGGGGCAGGTAAGGCGGGAGCTACGGCTGGGGAAAAGGGGGATGGAGGAGACAAGGGAGTGGGAGGAGGGGAGGGAGCGGAGGGAGGGAGAGGAGGGGGGAGTGGTGGCGACAAGGGCGGTGGAGGATGTGGGGAGGGAGGGAAGAAGCCACCAGTGATTCAGATTCTGCCTGGGGGGGTGCGTGTGTCTGGGGACGTGTTCCTGGAGTTCTCTAGAATGGATTCGGCGGAGCTCTTTGGTGACCTCGCTGCCCTCTCTTCCCTTCCGCCCAAGACCGCTGCCGCTCCTGCTGCTGCTGCCCCTCCTGCCCCTGCTGCCCCTGCCGCTGCTGCCCCTCCTGCCCGTGCCGCCCCTGCTGCTGTTGTCCCTGCCGCCTCTGTAAGACCCCCTACCCCGGCTGCCGCCCCCGCCCCTGCCGCCACTGCTTCTGCAGTCCCTCCCACGTCTGCCTCTGCTCCTCCCGTCGCTATCTCTGACATGGCTTCCATTGCAGCTTCTGCCCCACACGTTGCTACCACAGGGAACCCAGCCCACACTGGCAACCCTGCTATTTATAGTAACCCTGCCATGTGCGGGGTTTCGAGTGAGGGAACGGGGTTGAGCCTTGGGCTGCATCCCCCCATGGCGCATGACTCTGCTACAGCTATGGACGCAGACACAGCTACGGCCGGAGACGCAATAGGCGCAGCTGTGCCTGCAGACGCTGCTGCTACAGCCGTAGACACTGTAGATGCAGCTGCAGCTACACACACAGCGATGGATTCCAGTGGCGGAACTGGCGCTGGCGGTACAGCAGGGGCAGCAGAGTTGACTTTTGAGTCGACTGAAAAGTCAACACGCACAGCAATGGAGTCCAGTGGCGGAACCGGTGCTGGCGGTACAGCAGGGGCAGCAGAGGTTGTGGTGGTGGGCACGGCTGTAGCAGCAGAGACAGCAGGGGCAGCAGGGGTAGCTGGGGCAGGAGGGGCAGGAGGAGAAGCAGGTGGGGCAGCAGAGGCAGCAGTAGCAGCAACAGCAACAGATATTTCTCCCGCAGCAGAGCCAATTTCTGTATCTGCGAAACGTGCTCGTTCCCCTCCTGCCCTTCCCTCCTGGGCTACCCCGTCAGTCCTTCCTCTCAGCGACACCGATGTGGCTACGGCAGGTTTAACTGGGACAGGTTCTACTGGGGCAGATTCAACTGGGGCTCATGCTGCTGCTGGGGTAGCAGCTCTCCCCAATCAGCCCACCACTGATGCTGCTGCTTCCGCTGCAGCTGCTGCTGCCGCTGCCTCTGCTGCTGCCGCTGCCTCTGCTGCAGCAGCTGCTACTGGTGCCTCCTCCCCAGGAGGCATAGGGAGGAGCGGGTGGGGGGCGTATAGCCTCAACCAGTCTCCAGGCCTCGGTGTGTACCTCTCAGGTTCGGCGACTCCAGGTTCGGGGACTCCAGGCCCGGGAACCCCGGGCCTGTCCCGCAGCTTCTCCGACAACCCGCTGCTTCGGTTTGCCCGGCTTGACTCCTCTGACCTGTTTGGCTACTCCCCTAGTGCCAATATGGCTAGCCCTGGCGGTTTAGGTTCGGGTGGGGGCAGTGCTGCTGCTGTAGTGGGGGAAACGGCTGATCTGAAGGGTGATTCGGCAGCGGCTGTGGCTGCTGCTGGTGCTGCAGAAGCAGCAGAAGCAGACGAAACTGGTCAATTGGGCGGTGGTGATAAGGGGTGGCAGGAGACCATGGGCAAGGGCGAGAATGCTGGTAATGGCAACGGCACAGGCACTGGCAACAGCAGCCTGATGCCTGTGAAATGGGGCGCGTTCAAGTCCCCTCCTGTGCGACCACCTGCTACCATGGCAGCTGCAGCAGCGGCGGCAGCAGCAGTGAGGAGTGGGGATGCATACGGGGTGCAACCCTCGCCAGCTACTCGCTTCAAGGCCGGACTGAGTGATATGAGGTATTGATTCAATTCCCTTATCCTCTGCATGCAATCTTCTCGTGTGGGCATCTTACTTAACTGCCTCAATTCAACTCCCACTACCCCTCCACTCCATAGGCACATTCCTGATTTTTTAGGCGCCTAGAAGCTGTTACTTAACCGCCTCAATCCAGTTTCCTCTACCCCTCTATAGTTCCATATTTCACTGCTCCACACACCCCTGCCTCAATCTCCAAGGCCCTAATCTCCCCTGTCCCCCTTCCTTCTACCCAAATCTCCAATGCCCCACCCTCCCTCAACCCTAAACTCCTCTCGCAGAAACGAGTAGATTCGACCCTGCCTCCCTTCCTTCGACTCAAATCTTCAATGCCCCATCCTCCCTCTACCCCAAACCCCCACGCCCATTCCTCTGCCGTGTCTCCCCAACAGCACGCCAGAAGGTCGCCAGGGAGCGGAAACAGAGCTCTCCCTCTTTCTCACTCTCCGTCTCCCTGCAAGTATCTGGTTGCCATATTCACCATTCAGCCTCCTCATTGCACCCCTCCCGACCCCATTCGCCCCCATCTTCCCTCTTTCTGTCTTCCCACAGCACGCCAGAAGGTCGCCAGGCCAGGGAGCAGGGACAGAGCTCTCCCTCTCTCCTCCTTCCTGCAAGCCAAGACGCACTTTCCTTTCCCCAACCCCAATGTAATTTCCCCCCCTCTCCGCCCTCTGCCATGTCTCCCCGCAGCACGCCAGAAGGTCGCCAAGGAGCGGGAACAGAGCTCTCCCTCTCTCCTTCTTCCTGCAAGCCCAAACCCCCTCGCCCACCCCTCTTCGCTTCACCGCCTGCCTCCAGCCTCCCGTTCCCTCCCTTGCCTCCTCCCATCAAACCCACATTCACTACTGCTGCGGCTCCTCCTGCTGCTCACAGTGGTGGTGGTGGTGGTGGTGGTGGCGATGGTGGTGGTGGTGCTCCTGCTGCTGCATCTTCTGCTGGAGATGCTGCTGCTGCTGCTGGGGCTCACGCTTTTGCAAACGTCTCTGCTGCGTCTGCCTCTGCTGCTGCCGTTGCGGCGGCCAGTGGTAGTGCTTCAAACGCAAACGCGAAAGCGAGTTTCAATGCGAATGCATCGCCGTGGGGACCTCTGCCATCTCCTTCTACCCTCAGCATGCTCTCGCCTTCCTCTCGTGAGTCTTTCCCCCTCTCCCTCGCGTTGTGCGCGGGTCTTCATAAAGTCTAAATACCAATGCCGTGGGGACCTCTGCCATCTCCTTCCACCCTCAGCATGCTCTCGCCTAGCTCCCGTGAGTCTCTGCCTCTCTCACCTCCCATCCCTCGTGTTGCACCTGGTTTTATTTCAATACAACAAACCATCTCCGTGGGGACCTCAGCCATCTCCTTCCACCCTCATCATCCTCTCGCCTAGCTCCCGTGAGTCTCTCTCCCCCTTCCTCTCGCCTCCCCCATCTTTCTTCCTTTGTCTCTCTACTTCCGTCGTTCTCCCTCCCTCCATCTCTCTCCCCTTTTCTCCATCTCTTCCCTGCCTCTCCTCCCTTCCTCTCCCCTCATCCCTTTCCCCTTCCCTCGTTGTCTATCTCTTGACCTTCCTTTCCTTCCTCCCCCTGTCCTTCCCCTCGTTCCTTGTATCATTTTCCCTCGTTGTCTCTCTTTCCTCCCCGTAATACTCTCACACATGCCCCTCCTCACAACTCCCTCCTTCCTATCCAGCTTCGTCCCATGAACCTCTCCCACTCTCCAGGGGTTCGCTGGGAGTTGAAGCGAGCAACAGCGTCAGTGCTACCGCCAGCAACAGACGCAGCAGATGACCCGCTGTTGGCTCCTGAGGCTCTTCCAGATTCTTGAGTCGACTCAAAGGTCACCTCTTTTGAGTCGACTCAAAGGTCACCTCTTTTGAGTTGACTCAGAAGTCACCTCTTTTGAGTCGACTCAAAAGTCACCTCTTTTGAGTCGACTCAAAAGTCATCTCAACAGCAGCAGACGCAGCAGTTGACCCGCTGTTGGCTCCTGAGGCTCTTCCAGATTCATTCCCTAATCCCCCTTCTTCCCATTCTTCTCTTTCTCCATCTCCAGGGGGTCGCTGGGAGTTGAAGCGAGCAACAGCGTCGGTGCTGCCGCCAGCCACGGACGCAGCAGACGACTCGCTGCTGGTGATTGCGCAGGCGGAGAAAGCAGCCATGGCTGCCGCTTCTGTCGCCCATATGCTTGCTGCTCAGGCATCTGCTGCTCGCGTGTCTGCTGCACCTCCTGCTGCTGCTGCTGCTGCCTCTGCTGTTGCTGATGCTGCTCGTGGCGGTGGTGATGGTGATGATGGTGAGGATGATGATGGTGGTAGTGATTCGGATGGTGGTGAGGGTGGGGATGATGCTGCTGCTGCTGCCGGCCCCCGTCACTTTTTCCCCAAGCAGTCATCTCTGGTAGATGATTGGGTCAATGCCAGCAGCAACCCTCACAGCAACAGTGACGCAGCAGGGACAGCAGCAGATGCACCTACTGATGCTGATGCTGCTGTTCCTGCTGCTGCCGGCGCTCGTCACTTCTTTCCCAAGCAGTCATCCCTGGACCATTGGGTCAATGAAGCAGCAGGGACACCAGGAGGCGCATCTGAACCAATGCTACAGACACCACCAGCACAGCCACAAACACAACCACCAGCAGGAACAGCAGCAGCAGCAGAACCCACCCCTCCCTCCTCGCACCCGCCTCCCTCCTCATTCCCCTTCCGAGTGCCCTCAGGCCCCCTCCCCTTCCCCATGGGCAGCCCCAGCCTCAATCTCCAGTTCACCATGGGCAACGGCAACGTCCCTTTCAACATAGGCAGTCCGTCAGTCGCCGCGTATCTCAGCAGCCCTTCCTTTGCCGCCTCCCTCGCCGCCTCCCTCCTGCACAACCCTGCCGACGCCTTCAGCCGCCAGAGCTCCGGGGAGCTCTTCGGCTGGCAGAATTCGGCAGATCTGTTCGGGCGGCAGAACTCGGCCGACCTCTTCGGGCGGCAGAACTCGACGGATCTCTTCGGAGAGTCGCTCACGCCGTCCGCGCTCGCGGCCGCAGCAGCCAGGCTTGCTCGCCTCAGTTCCGCCGAGCTGCTTCATCTTGCCGACTCGCCTCTCTCCGCCTCGCCTCTCCCCTCCATTTCCACCACCACCCCACCGGTCTTTGGCAGCGGTTACTCTGGTGGTGGCAGCGATGGCAGCGATGGCATGGGTGCTGCTGGTGCAATGGCAATAGCAGCGGCAGCAGCAGCAGGAGCAGCAGCAGCAGGAGGAGGGGCAGGAGTAGTGGGGGTAGCAGGAGTAACGGGGACAGTGGGGGCTTTGTCTGCTGATGTGAGTGCAACAGCAGCAGCAGGGCTACATGCCTCGAGGGTAGATTCCTCTGAGCTGTTCGGCCAGTGGGTCGGCAAGTGGCCTTCTCCCAACCCCAACCAACCTGGCTTTTCCTTCTCCTCGCCTTCCCCTGCTACTGCTGCTGCTACTGCTGCTGCTCCTCCTCCTGCTGCTCCTGTTACTCCTGCCGCGTCTGCTCCTGCTGCTCCTGCTTCAGCTTCAGTTGCATGTACAGACACTGCCACTGCTGGTCCTGACGCTCCTTCAGAACACGCGATGGATTTGGCTAAAGGTGTCCATGGCGATGCTGCTGCTACTGCTACTGCTGCTTCGGCAGCGTCTGTTTTGGCTTCTACTGGCGGGGCCACACGACCAAGCACTGGGAGCACTCGGTTTGCCGCAGAAGCTGCTGTGAAATAGACGGCGGGTAGATAGCTTCATAGCAGCAAGCTCTGTTGGCCGACGGTTGCTGCTGGAGCTGCGACTCGGCAACTTCCGTGTCGAGCAAGGCATCTTTTTCTTTCCATGCTGGCTGTTTCTCAACTTGGGTTGTGTCAGCAACAATGTGGGATGTTGTGAGTGGTATACTCCACGGCGCCTTTGCAGGAATGGTGACATCTGGTATCCCCTTAGGGTGAAACAAGCAGCAAGCTCAGCCACTGGATTTGAAGGTGATACCTATGGTATTTGATAGGGTGAAAGGAACAATCATTCAAGATGGAGGTCCTGACAAGTGATGCAAGAATTTTGGCTGGTTAAGTCGTTCCTTCATAAAATATTCCATATTGTCCTGCCTCTTGGGTCAATGAATTTCGCCCCTTATGTTAATATCAAAACCCTCCACAGAATTGTGTCAGGATACAAAACACCGGCCAAGAACATTCCCTCAACTCCAACTGTCAGGGTTAGTCAGTGGCAATGCAACCACTGATCGTGCTGTACTTGAGTGAATTCAACACGAGAAAAGGCGCGCTACCCTACCAAATCAGTAGGCGATACAGTAAATTGTGTGAAATTAGTATGGGCTTCGCACTATAAGCTACAGTTTTTTAGGTGTAATAGGCTCTGCTCAAGTCGATAAGCCTGGTCTCAGCAACACAGGCATTAGAATCCTCCACCTTCCATCCTGATAAGGATTCTATAGTGACTTCGGACAAAACTGATTCCTCGGTCACCTCACCAGTGCAAGACTGGTGCAAGTGTCACCACTGCAACCGTCCCGGTCGAAAGTGCACGCTTGCCGTACTTATCTCGTGTGTGTGTGTGTGGCCTGTGGTGCACCCACTTGCACAGGCGACAACAGTCTATGGGACTGCATCACCAGGGGACCAGGGGAAGGCCTAGTGACAGGAGTGCTGTCACCCCCGCCACTCTCTGCCTGGCTGAACGCCGGTTGCAGCACACACTGCATGGGAAGAGAGGGGAACGACAAGCAAACCAAACACAAAGCCGCATCGATCACAGATGCAAAAATGCCTGGCAGAAAAGACGTAGAAGCAACATGGATTGGGCGGCTGGGATCAGGGGCCTGGGAACAAAGGGTTGGGATCAGGAGCAGGTGACTGGGAACAAGGGGATGGGAGCGAGGGGATGGGAACGTGTTGTCTACAGAAATGCGTGAAATGGGATGCGGGAAATAAGTATGAAAGCACAAAGGAGGACAACAAGCATGGCACAGGGGGGGGGGGGCTACATTAGGACATGGCCTCGCAGTGCCTAAGCCAGTCAATATCTGAGGCTCCCCCAACCTCCCAAGGAGTAAACATTTTAGTCGCACCAAAAGAAATGCACTGATTGAGTTGGCTTATATTGGGAGATGGCCTTGCCGTGCCTAAGCCAGCCTCTAAAAGAAGTGTTGTTTTGGGGAGTCTCGGGGCATGCACTGATTGGGAGGGCTTACATTGGGAGATGGCCTTGCCGTGCCTAAGCCGCTCTCCACAGCTCCTCCAACCTCTCCTCCTCTCTCTTTTTGCATCCCTCCAGCTGCTTCACCAGCAGCACCACCAGCAGCACCACCAGCAGCACTACCAGCAGCACCAGCAGCAGCTGAATGCAACCTCGCCCCACCTCCCGCTCTCTCCTCCCTGCATGCCTCCTCCTCCCCACCTCTCGCACCGTCCCTGCCCTCTGCTCTCCCAACACTCGCGCTCACAGCAGCTCCAAACGCGCTGCTATGGGCGTTACCATAGCTCGCAGCACCACTGCTGCCTCTGTTCCCAGTCCCATTCACAGCACCAGCACCAGCACCATCCCCGCCCCCACCAGTGGAAGCGGCACCTTGAGATTGCCGCATCGGAGTGACAGCCGGTTGTAGCACAGGCGAGCTTTGAGCCGTCTCCATGGTTGAACGCACCAACGGTTGTAGCACAGGCGAGCTTTGAGCCGTCTCCATGGTTGAACGCACCGCTGGCTGTAGCGCGGGCGATGCTGCTGGCTTGACCGGCCGAAAGGACTGGGAGAGCCCTTGTGTCAGCGCTTGCAGGGCAGGAGAGGCGGCTGGCGTTACTGCCTGCTGCTGGTGTGTCAGCGCTTGCAGGGCAGGAGAGGCGGGTCTTTGATCGGAGGAAGCCGCCTGCTGCAACCTTGCTGCCTGCGGGAAAGGCGATCCTGCTGGGCGTATGGCCTGTTGCTGGTATGGGGAGGCTCCCTGCTGGACCCTTGCTCCCTGCTGCTGGAAAGGCGATACTGCTGGCCTTACAGCCAGTTGCTGGTATGGGGAGGCTCCGAGCCTCGACACTTGCAGGAGAGGCGAGGCAGCTGGCTTGAGCGCGTGAAAAGAGGGAGATGGGGCGGGAGAAGGAGAAGGAGAGGGCAAGGCCTGTGGATGTCTGGAGACTTGCAGGGAAGGAGAGGAAGGGGCTGCTGTGGCAGCTCTTGGCACTTGAAGTGGAGAGGGTCCAGGCGTTGATGCGTGCAGGGATGCAGGGCCATGGGTGGGTGTGGATGTGATGGGAGTGGACGCACGCACGGGTGTGGGGCCGTGTGTGGGCGTGGAGGCACGGAGGGGGGCACGCGGCCCCATGAGAGGGGAGGGGTGCAGTCGGGGCCCTCCTATTTGGTAGTGCCCTGGCAGCAGCTGACTTCCACCCGTGCTGCCCAGGCGAGGAGATGCTTGAGCTGCTGCTGCTGCTGGTGCGGCTGGTGCTGCTGCACTTGATGCCTGCTGTTGCTGCTGTTGTTGGTGCTGTTGGTGCTGCTGCTGCTGCTGTTGCAGCTGTTGCTGATGCTGTTGTTGTTGTTGCTGCTGTCGGTGCTGTTGCTGAAGCTGTTGGTGCTGCTGCTGCTGCTGCTGCTGCTGTTGCTGCACTGCGAGATTCGAGGCAGAAGCAGGTCCGGTCTGCATTGGATTGGTGGGAGTTTGAGAGGGCGAAGGGGACGGTGGAGGTGGGTGGTGCTGCTGTGAAGCTGGGCCCGGTGGCTGGTAGGAGAAGGGTTGCCGGGGCAAGCGACCGTGCTCCCAATGCATTTGCACTGCCTGTTGCCCTGGCCTCACCTGTTCCTGCTGCTGCTGCTGCTGCTGTTGCTGCTGCTGCTGCTGCTGCTGCTGCTGCTGCTGCTGCTGCTGCTGCTGCTGCTGCTGCTGCTGCTGCTGCTGCTGCTGCTGCTGCTGCTGCTGCTGCTGCTGCTGCTGCTGCTGCTGCTGCTGCTGCTGCTGCGACTGTTGCATCTGGAAGGGCGGGTGATGTGGTGCTGCAGGGTGTTGACCGGGAGACCTGAAGAAAGGAGTAGAATCACCGAAGGAGAAAATAACCGCACTGCCAGAGTGGCACTGACAGACAGCACCAAAGTACTAGACGGCAAAGCGAACGCGCAAGTGCGGAAGAAGGGCTGAGGCAGGGGGGCTTAGGGTTCAGATCATGAAGCATCTGAACAAATTGAGTGAGACAGGCACACTTTTGGAACCAGATGAAACAAAAATCACTAACAAAACGACAGAATTACGAAGAAAATCATGACAAAGGTACGCGGATCTAGTGCGCAGTTTGGTTGAGACAGTGTGCGTGAATGAGACAGGCAGGCACCCACGAGAGAGACCCGTGAGGAGGCGAACCTACTGGCTGGGGAAAGACCCCTCTCCTGCTCTTTGTACGCCCATTGCTGATGCTCCTCCCACCCCTCCTTGCTGCATCCCTGCTTGCTGCACCCCTCCTTGCTGCATCCCTGCTTGCTGCATCCCTCCTTGCACTGCATCACCTGCGCCTTGTAACTGCTGCGTTCCCTCTCCCCCTGCTACCATTCCCCCTTTCGCTACACCTCCCTGCCCCGCCCCACCCTGCCCTGACCCGCCCTGCCCTGCCCCGCTCTGCCCTGCAGAAGGTACCGCGACTGCATGCACGGGAGGGGGGAGAGTGAGGGGAGGCGGGGCGTTCCCGTGCAGCACTGCTGGCACTGCTGCTCCTTCCGCAGATGGGCGGAACATGGCAACAGCAGGGTAAGTGGCACTGCCGGGGTAAGTGGCACTGCCGGGGTAAGCAGCAGTGGCAGGGTAAGTGGCACTGGGAGGATAAGTGGCACTGCCGGGAAAAGGAGTATTTCTCTGGGAAGTGGTGAAATCCGTGGTGTTGAGGCTAGATGGGGTCATATCGCCTGCCTTCACTCCCACACCCCCTGCTCCCGCGCCCCCTCCTCCTGCGCCTCCCCCTCCCACTCCTGCACTCCCTGCTGTTGCACCTCCTGCTGCCCTTGGCGTGCTTGCATCGCCACCAGTGGTATCGCCGCCACCGCCACCACCAGCAGCACCAGCACCACCACCAGCGCCACCGGCGCCACCAGCAGCGCCACCAGCGGCAGCAGAAGGAGGGCCGTCGTCAGCATCGTTTGCATCAACGAGGGAGGTGCCTGGAGCAGCGCGGTCGTGGGTCTTGCGGGAGCGGTTGCGCCCGCGATGCATGTGGCGCTCACAGTACTTCTGATCCGGTACCACCTGGTGGGGGGGAGTGCGTGAGGTAGAGAGAGCGGTGAGGGGGATGAAAGATGCATGTGGCGCTCACAGTACTTCTGATCCGGTACCACCTGGTGGGGGGGAGTGCGTGAGGTAGAGAGAGCGGTGAGGGGGATGAAAGATGCATGTGGCGCTCACAGTACTTCTGATCCGGTACCACCTGCTGGGGGGGAGGGGAGGCGGAGGAGAGCGGAGAATGTGCAGGATAGTGAGAGAGGAGAGGGGAAGGGAGCGGTTGCGTTCCCGATGCATGTGGCACTCATAGCCTCACAGTACTTTTGATCCGGTACCAGTTGGGAAGGATGTGGGAAATGGATGGAGGGACGGTGCTGGATGGAGAGAGCAAAGAGACTGCAGATGGAGGACACATGCCTACGGGTGTGTGCTGGACGTGCCTCTAGGAGGGAAACAGAAGCTTTTTTTCTTCTTCTTACCTCTCTGGAGCATCGCCATTTCTTGCCGTCCGTTCGTCTGCACCGGAACGGCTCCAGCTCCACCTGCTGTGTCACCTGCCCCCACCCCGCTGCTTGATGGGAGAGAGACAAGGGCGGGACGGGGAGAAAGGAGAGAGGAGAAAGGGGTGGGGAGAGTTTAGAAGCGATGTGGGGCATTGTCACTTCTTGCCGTCCGTTCGTCGGCATCTGAACAGCTCCACCTGCTGTGTCACCTGGCCCCACCCCGCTGCTTGATGGGAGGTGTGACAAGGGCGGGACGGGGAGAAAGGAGAGAGGGAGACAGGGCACAAGCGACAGGAGGCAGGAGAATGGGCAGAGGACAGAAGGGAGGAGAGATGAGAAGGGATGTGGAGCATCGCCATTTCTTGCTGTCAGCTCGTCTGCATCTGCATGGCTCCAGCTCCACCTGCTGTGTCACCTGCCCCCACCCCGCTGCTGGTGGAGGGAGGAGCTACAAGGGCGGGACGGGAGGAGATAGGAGGGAGAAGAGAGGAGAGGAGAGAGAGGAGAGGAGTCAGGAGAGACGAGACGGGAGAGGCGAGAAGGAACGTGGAGAGCACAGGAGGAACGTGGAGAGCACAGGAGGACGACGCATAGGAGGAAAAGGAACGGTCAGCGTTGACGCAAGAGAGAGTGGAGCAACAAGCACAGGAACGGAGCATATGCATAGGATGAATGGACATAGGATGGACATGCACAGGAGAGAGAGAGACTCACGTTGGCCGCCGGGGGCAGCAGGGGGCTGCTGCAGTGCGGCCAAAGGGGGCAGGCGCGCGCAGGAGGCTCTGAGCGCGGCAACAAGGTGGGGGGGAACGGGCGCGCCTGCAACAAGGTACTTGAAGACTAGCGCCTGCTGCTCCAGCTCCTGCCACTGCGTCACTGTGAAGGGCGCCCACGACCCGAAGTCGCCTGAGGGATGGGGGGAACGCGAGGGATAGGAAAGCGGGAATACAGTAGGGAAAGAGTGAGCGAGAGGGAAGGAGGGAGCGAGAGGGAAGGAGGGAGCGAGAGGGAAGGAGGGAGCGGATGCTCCTGCCACTCCGTCTCAGTAAAGGGAGCTTATCAGCCCAAGTAATCTGTTGGATACAAAGGGAGAGAGGGGTGGGGGAGGAGAGCGAGAGAGGCGGTAGATGAGTGCGTGGTGGCGATGAGTATATGAACAACGTGTTGGAGATAAAGGGAGAGTAGCTGAGTCTCCAATCAGAGAGACGAGAGTCTGTTGCATACCAGGCATGTTGTTGTGTCCAGGTACATGACCGGGCTGCTGCTGCTGCTGCTGTTGCTGCTGCATGGGGGCAGGGAGGGAAGCTGAAACCACTTGCACAGTCATAGGCATGGTGGGAGTGGCAGGAAACGGCTGGTGAGGGGGCATCGACAGGCCTGGTTGCATGGGGGCTCCAGGTGACGGCTGCATGGGCACCAGGCCTTGTTGCATCGGTACCGAGCCTTGCTGCATCAGTACTTGTCCTTGTTGCATGGGCACCGAGCCTAGTTGCATTTGCACCGGGCCTTGCTGCATTGGCACCGGGCCTTGCTGCATTGGCACCGGGCCTTGTTGCATTGGCACCGGGCCTTGTTGCACTGGCACTGGGCCTTGCTGCATCGGTACCGGACCTTGTTGCATCTGATGGCCTTGCTGGAAAGAAGGCACCTGCTGCATTGGCTGCATAGGCTGCACTTGCTGCATTTGTTGCTGGTAGGCTTGTCCGTTGTGTGGCAGGAAGGCGGATGGTCCCCCTTGGAAGCCAAACATCGACTGCTGTGGAGCTTGCTGTTGCGCCAACCCCTGTTGCACCATGCCTTGTTGCGCCATCCCTTGTTGCGCCATGCCTTGTTGCGCCATCCCTTGTTGCGCCATGCCTTGTTGCGCCATCCCCTGTTGTGCCATGCCTTGTTGCGCCGTCCCCTGATGCGCCATGCCTTGCTGTGCAAACCCCTGTTGCGCCATCCCTTGTTGCACCATCCCCTGCTGCGTCATCCCTTGTTGCGGCACGCCTTGTTGCACCATGCCTTGTTGCGCCATGCCTTGTTGCACCATGCCTTGTTGCACCATGCCTTGTTGCGCCATGCCTTGTTGCACCATGCCTTGTTGCACCATGCCTTGTTGCGCAAACCCCTGTTGCGCCAAGCCTTGCGCCATGCCATGTTGCGTCATGCCTTGTTGCGTCATGCCTTGTTGTGGCATGCCTTGTTGCGGCATGCCTTGTTGCGGCATGGCTTGTTGCGGCATCCCCTGTTGTGCCATCCCCTGTTGCGCCATCCCCTGTTGCGCCATCCCCTGTTGCGCCATACCCTGTTGCGCCATCCCCTGTTGCGCCATACCCTGTTGCGCCATCCCCTGTTGCATCATTCCGTGATGCATCTGAGGGTGGGGTATCCCTTGGTGCCCTGTGCCCTGTCCCTGCACCATAGCCTGCAGTTGAGCCACCATCTGAGGCGGACCCATGCCATGTGCCTGCGCCATGCCCTGTGCCTGCGCCATGCCTTGCTGCGCCATGCCTTGCTGCGCCATTCCCTGCTGCCCCATGCCTTGCTGACCCATGACTTGCTGCGCCATGCCTTGCTGCGCCATGCTCTGCTGCCCCATGCCTTGCTGCCCCATGCCTTGCTGCCCCATGCCTTGCTGCGCCATGCCTTGCTGCCCCATGCCCTGCTGCGCCATGCCCTGCTGCGCCGTGCCCTGCTGCGCCGTGCCTTGCTGCTGCTGCGGCATCACTGCCACACCGTTCATCATAGGAACGGAAGAGGATGCCTGAGGCCCCTCGACAGGAAACTGCTGTGCCTGCTGCTGTTGCTGCTGCGTCTGTTGCTGCTGTTGCTGCTGCGTCTGTTGCTGCTGTTGCTGCTGCGGCTGCTGCTGCTGCTGTTGCTGCTGCTGCTGCTGCTGCTGCTGCTGCTGCGGCTGTTGCTGCTGTTTCTGCTGCTGCTGCTGCTGCTGTTGCTGCTGTTGATGGTGCGGCTGCTGCTGCTGTTGCTGCTGTGCCTGTTGGTGCTGCTGCTGCTGCTGCTGTTGTTGCTGCTGTATCTGCTGCTGCTGCTGTTGCTGCATCGTTTGATGGCCAGGCATTGGCTTATGCTGCGGTGCTGACACTAGATGTTGTTGCTCCTGCAAAAAAGGTTGCTGCTGCAGCTGCTGTTGCGGCTGCTGAAGATGCTGCTGGTACGCAGGTGGACCGTACTGCTGCTGCTGTGGCTGTGCTGGCTGCTGCGCCTGATGTTGGGTTGGGCTTGGGAGAAATTGCTGCGGAACCGGCTGCTGCTGCTGCGCGTACTGCTGCTGCTGCTGCAGTGGTTGCTGATAGTAAGGCTGCTGAGGCTGCTGCTGCTGCACCACGGAAGGCTGGGACGCAAAAGGCTGCTGCGGTTGAAACTGCTGGGCCGACTGCGTCTGCATTTGCTGAGCTTGACCTTGGGATGCCATCCGCTGCTGTTCCGCCTGTGCATGCGCCTGTGCCTGCGCCTGCGCTTGTTGCGCCTGTGCCTGCGCCTGGGGATGTTGCTGCTGCTGCGCCGTTACCTGAGCTTGCTGCTGCGGCTGTCCCACGTGGCCTTCCGCCTGGGGTTCTTGTTGCTGCTGCTTCTGTGCTTGATGCGGCTGCGCTTGCTGCTGCTCGGATTGTTGTTGTTGCTGCTGCTCCTGATGCTGCTGCTGTTGTTGTTGCTGCTGCTGTTGCTGTTGTTGCTGATTTTGCTGCTGTTGTTGCTTCTGCTGCTGCTGCTGCTGCTGGTGCTGTTGTGGTGGTTGCTGCTGCTGCGCTGTCTGCTGCTGCAACAGCTGCTGGTATGCCTTCTCTGGCACTCTGGCATGCTCCTGTTGCTGCGTCATTCCTCCGAATGAACTGGAGAGTGCGGGCATACCAACAGCAGGCGCTCCTTGCTCCTGACTTTGGGCCAGTCGAGGCCCCGAATCTCCCTCCCTTTGTTGTGCTGAGGTGACCTTCATCTGATCTTTCCTGTCCGCGCTATTGACAACACCGGGAAGCCCTATAGCTGTCTGGCCTTTTTGTTCGCAATCTCCAAATTTCGGCTCACGCTGCGCTACACGATCCGTCGGATTCGGCTGTGTCGACTGCAGCGATGGCGAAGAATGTGTAACCCCGTAACTCGTGCCATTCGCCTGTGCCGGATTCTCTCCCTCCGCCGTCCGATTTCCCACAGGAATCGACCCATTGTGACTGTTCGTAAACGAGCTTCTGTCACGCTGGCGCTGGTTCTGAGGGTCGGTTCTGGAAGCTTCGATTGTATCGGAACCCCCTGGGGCCGGGTGGTGGTTGCGACTTTCGGCGGCCGGAGTCCGTTGCTGCGTATCGGATCCCCCTTGAGCCTGCGAGGATGCAGGCTGGTTCACGACCATATGGAGCCCTTGCGAATGATTGGTCAGGTTTGTTACCAGCGGACGACGAGCATTCGGCGAGCTCTGGTCACGAGTATGCTTCCCTTTCACGAGGTCAGCTGTTGCGCGGTGATCGCTCTTCAGGTCGCTGTACGCGATATAGCTATTCTCGTCGACGCTCGATACGTGTCCAATTGTTAGACAGTCAGCGAGACTACCAGGTACCCGATTTGATCGGAAGCCTTGGCTGGCTTCCACATTACCAGGCGAATCTCGGCAATATCGAGGTACACCGTAAGAAAACGAGCGATCCAATGAGGACATACGAGACACTGAGTGCCTGGTCGTTTCAGCCTGCGAGGCTAATGACATCAGCAAGCGTGAACATACGCCTAAGCAGATCGGCGGAAGCTGGAGTGTTAGGATTCATATCCTGGAAGCTAACAAAAAATAACGACCGTGTCAGGACGGTGTTTAGCTGTGGCGATAGTTGGTGATCAGGCTTGCTCAGCATACGCTGAGACGATCTACAAGTCACTACCACAGACAGACAGACACACAACCAAGATCAGGAAAGCTAGCAGAGCAGTGCAGAAGCAAGTCGTCACTGTAGCTTCCATGGTTCCTGATTCCCCCTGAACCAAGAGATTGCCTGCTCTGATGAATTACAGGGAAGAGCGGCGGGAAAACCAGATCGGAGAGCGATGGCAAAGGCGGGAAAGATCGGACGGCTCAGAGAGAGAACTTGAAAACTGTCTCAACGCATGCAAGCAGGGGCGTTCCTTGGGATTTTCGGAGATCGAGCCTGTATGACAGGTTCGTTGCCGGACTTGGCTACCTGTTTGTCACCTGTTGAAGCTGTGACGGAACCAGATTTAGGCTTCACCAATTTTTGAGCGCCAATGCTGCATCGAGGGTTTTGAATCAACCAAGGTACTGGTTTGGTTTGGCCCTGAAAGTCAGAAATTCTTCTGACAGTGGGACAGTTCCGATCAATCGCTATGCGCCAACGTGGCAAGCGTTGACGATGTGGTAGCGTAATTTCGCGTATATCGCCTGTCAAGCCTGTTACACATTTTGGTCATCTACGGAACCAAATATCTGGCTATGCAGGTGAACACTTTCATCCAGAAGGATCGAACCCGCGACCTCTGTCCATCCTGAAACAAAATTCACCCACTCGGACATCTCGGCAATTTCAATGTGGTCTGGTGCAAAACGGACCCCAGCCTCCAGGGGACCAGCGCGGCTCGTCCCACCTTGATAATGCCTGGACTGGAAAGGGCAAAACTGCCTCCTGATGGACGCCTTGCTAGTTGTATATTGGTCTGGTCGACGAAGAGGGCTAGGTCACCTAGTCAGGGTGGATTTTCTCTCAGTTCATCTGCAATTTTGCGATAGCGTTTTCTCTTGCGATGACGTGAAAGTTACGGCAAAGTATTGGACCTAACAAGATTCTGGATAGAGCGATTTCATTAGATAAAGTGGATATTGCTTTACGCCTTGGATCACTGCGAGTAGCATTCATATATCTTAGTCGCTTCGTACTCTTAGATTTTACAACTTCTCGTACTCGTCAAGAAGCGCACTGAACCACCGTTTGTATTACTGACCACCGTTTGTATTACTGACCTACGTAACCTTACATTTTTTTTTCTCTCTCTCTTCTTTAAGCGTCGTTTTGATGGATTACTCTAGTCACAATACCGGATACGAGGGTAACGATGACGACGAGCATGTGGACGAAGAGGAGGAGGAGGAATACGACGAAGAGGAGGACGAGGAGAGGGGTGTGCCGAACATGCTGGCGTTTATGCTAGGGAATGTGAACGACGAGGGTTCGCTGGAGGAGGAGTACATGGATGAGGTCGGTATAAAAGTACCCGGTTTCGGTTTTAGTATCCTTCAAATACCATCAACATTTCGTGAAAGTTTAGAGCTGTTTGCCACCAATTTCTCAGCATAATCTGCAGCATGATTGCGCTAAGAACATGGAAGTTAAGTTCTTCGCGTTCTGACAGGAATGGTTGCTGGTTAAGGCTGTGTGTTGCATACTAGAGAAATCTGACCGGTCTTGTCCTGGTTCCTGACAGTGTTTGTCTTACCCGACTTCCTGAACTGACTCTTACACTCTGGTTCATTTTGTTACCCCTCCTGAATTGTCTCTTACACGATGTTCGTTGTCTTATTTCGCAGGAGGCGAGGGATCACTTAGCTGGATTGGCGGACCAGCTCGGCCCAGCCTTGGCTGACATGGAGGTATTGTTGAGTGATGAATAATTTGTTTCTTTTCTTCTTTAGGTGTTTTTTTTTTTTACTTGACCCAGTACTTGACCTAATTAGAAACCTACTAGCTCCCAGCTCTGCCCAGCCTTGACCGACGTGGAAGTGCCCAGCTCTGTTGGGATGGGATGGATATATGTGATTTATTGACTATCTTCCAGTTTAGCACTCAGAAAAAAGAATGTGGCATCTTACGCCGCTCAGCCTGCTCGGCGTCTGCCGGCCTCCCTTGATGCTTCCTTGCCGTTTTCCTGTGCTTTGAATCTTTCCTGGCAGTTCGAGGCGAGGTCAGGGGCTGGACAAGCTAATGATGATGATGATGGTGAGTCTGTTCTCTGAAACATTGATTCTCAGACTATTCCCCGTTGCCGCTGCCAAACGAGCAGGTTATGATCGGGAAAGCATATAACGCGGGTAGCGATGGGAAATCGCAGGACTGCAAACCTGATTTGTGTATTTACTGTGCGCGCGCGCCTCCTTGTCGCTGCGCTGACGCGCAGATGTAACCGGAAAGGAGGAGTTGCATGGGTTTCGATTGTTGATCTGATAAGAAAATTGCTTGTGTGTCCCTCGACCCTGCCTTAACGAGCAGACTACGACCGGAAAGCAGACGACGCAGAGGACTATGAGGATATAGACGAGGCGTTTGAGGAGGACGATGCTGGCGCTGGTAGCAGTGGTGCTGGTGCTGGTGCTGCTCCTGCTGCTGCTGGTGGCGATGCTGGTGGAAGTGGGTTCGATTATGCTGCTGGGCTGGAAGGGGTTGGTGCGGGTGATGCAGGGGAGGAGGAGGATTATGACCTGGAGGAGGAGGAGATGGAGGGGGAGGAGGAGAGGGAGGAGGAAGCGGAGGAGGCAGCGGGACAGGGCGCAGGGAAAGGGGGGTTTGAGGATGGGAACATGGGTGCAGTTGGAGGGGGAGAGGCTGCAATCGAGGGGGGTGCGGAGCAGGAGGAGGAAGAGGAAGAGGTGGACGAGGGAGAAGGGGAAGAGGACGATGAGGAGGACGAGGAGGAAGAGGAAGTGGAGGAGGAGGAGGGAAAGGAGGAGGATGAGGAGGAAAAACGGGAGGAGGTGACAGGGTTGGAATTGGAGTTTGGGGATATGGGGAATGTGGAGATTGGGGCAGAAGAGGGAATAGAAGGGCAAGAGGAGGAAGAGGAGGCAGAGGATGAGGAGGATGAGGAAGTGGGTGAGGGTGAGGGTGAAGGGGGTGAAGAGAAGGAGGCGGAGGAAGAGGAGGCAGGCATTGATCCAGGATTTGGAGAGCAAGGATTCGGAGGGATGGAACAAGGCGAGCAGCAGCAGCAGCAGCAGCAGGAAGAAGTGAGAGGAGGAGAGGAGGAAGAGGAGGAGGACGATGAGGATGAGGAACTTGATGGGCTTCTAGACGAATTGGAGGAGGCCGGGCAGGCAGATAGGGCAGAGGAGGAACGGGTGGGAGAGGAGGGAGGAGGCGAAGGAGGTGAAGAGGAGGAGGACGGAGAAGGGGGTGACGAAGGGCAGGGAGAAGGAGAAGAGGAAGGAAGCGAGGAGGAGGAGGATTCTGATGAAGATGGGGGAGAGGGTGAAGAAGAGGAGGGTGGGGAGGAAGCAGGGGAGGATGGTAGGGAGGGGATGGAGGAGGGAGGTGGAGGGGAGGACGAAGCTGCATTTGCGTCTCAAGGCCATGAGGCTGAAGATTCTGCATGTAGGTCTTGCCTTCTTACATGTACGGGGGACGTATTGCCAGGTTACATGGATTGTGATGTGTTAGTGATAATGCCCAGGGATGCATAGGTCATGTTGTTGGGGGTAGGATTCTTTGTGATTCTGCCAATTTTGTGGGCAGGTTGTTTTCCTTTGAGGGTCAATTGGGGAATTGTCTCGAGTGCACCCAGTCTGTCTGTCTTTGTGTTGGTTGTCTCACTTTCAACCTTATCCTCCCTATACTCTTGGACTGCAGTGCCGACCACCCCTGGCGAATTGGGATTCACAGAGGACGAGGACGAGGAGGAAGAAGAGGATGAGGATGAGGACGAGGGGGAGGAGGAAGCGGAGGGTGCAGCAGAGGGGGTTGAGGATGAGGGGGAGGAGGATGAGGAGGAGGAGGGGGACGAGGAAGGGGAGGAGGAGGAAGACGAGGAAGAGGAGGAGGAAGGAGCGGAAGGAGAGGATGATGGAAAGATGGAGGAGGAGGAAGGGGATGGGCTAGATGAGGTGTTGGATGGAGAGGAGGAAGGAGAGGCAGGCACACAGGGCTCACTGGATGAAGGGTTGGATGAAGGGTTGGATGAACATGAGGAAGCTGAGGAGGATGAGGAGGAGGAGAAAGGGGATGATGAGGAGGAGCACGAAGAGGAGGGGGGTGAAGAGGAGGAGGAGGAGGAGGAGGAGGAGGAAGAGGAAGGCAAAGAAGGTGAAGATGGGGATAATGAGGTAGGGGGAGATAGAGGGGAGGACGATGGAGGTATTGGTCAAGAGGAAGAGGAGGATGAGGAAGAGGATGCAGAGGAGGGAGGGGAAGAGGAGGAGGCAGAAGGGGAGGGAGGGGATGAAGAGGAGGCAGAGGAGGGAGGGGAGGAAGAGGAGGCAGAGGAAGAGGGAGGGGCGGAAGAGGAAGCAGAGGAGGAGGGAGGGGAGGAAGTGGACGGAGAAGGTGAGGGAGAGGATGTGAGAGAAGAGTATGGGAAGGAGGGAGATGAGGAGGAGGAGGACAATGAGGGAGCAGAGGAGCAGGAGGACGATTTGGAGGCGGACTTAGAAGCAGCGTTGGAGGAGGCAATGGATGAGGGTGAAGGGGAGGGGGAGAGGGGGATGGATGAGGGGGAGGGGGGTTTGGATGATGGGGAGGAGGGAGGAGAAGGGGAGGAAGGGGCAGGAGAGGAGGACGAGGAGGATGAGGAGGAGAAAGAGAGTGCTGAAGGTGGTGCTGTGGCAGATGAGGAGGCAGGTGGTGTTGTGGCAGGAAGTGGAGAGGGAATGGTAGGAGGACAGTGGGCAGCTGGGGAGATGGCTCCAGGGAGTGAGGAAGGAGGACAGGGAGAAGAAGAGAAGGGAGTGAGGGGCGAGGCAGAGAGTGGGGGTGCTGCTGTCAAGGGTGCGGAGGAGGCAGATGGGGGGGATGGGGGGGAGAGGGAGGATGAGGAGATGAGAGAACAGGAGGATGCGGATGGTGAAGGGGAAGGTGTGGAGGGGGGAGAAGGGGGCGGTGGGCAGCAGGGCAGGGGTGCTGTTGACGGTGAGACAGATGCAATGGATTGGGCTGGGGAAGGAGAGGGGGAAGTGTCAGGGGAGGAGGAGGGGCTGGAGGGAGGGAGGGGAGACGACGAGGGAGAGGAGGGCGAGGCGGAGGGAAAGGAGGAGGAGGGGAAGCGGAGGAGTGAGCTGCCGGTGCTGTTCAAGGAAGGGGGCAAGGACGTGCTGCGCTTCTCAGACATCTTTGGCATCAAGGGCTCCTTCTGGTCGCTCGTCGTGCAGCGAGGGTCCCGCCCCAAGCGGCACCGCGTGCTGCCTCGTGCGCCTACTGTGTGTGGTAAGTGTGGCTGCTTCTTGACTCATGGGATAACAATGAGAGCTACAAGTTGAATGAAGTTTAAACTGCTATTTGATGTGCTGCAAGGAGGCATAATCTGCCAGGAGCTTTAATACTCATATCTGTTTTCTCACGCCTGATTAATTTAAAGCCTTGTATGTGTTGTGGGTGTGTTTTTGTGTGAACGGGAAATGTGTACGCATGGGAAACGTGTGTGGACATGTTTCTTGCAGATCCAGGGCAAGAGGACGATGAGGTGCTTCTTCGATCTGCACCGTCGCCGAAACGAACGGCTGAGATGATGCGAGAGCGAGCTATTGCTCTTGAGAAAGAGCTACAATATCAAGAAATGTTGGAGAGGGAGGAGGAAGAGGAGGAGGAAGAAGAAGAGGAGGAAGAAGAAGAGGAGGAAGAAGAAGACGAGGAGGAAGAGGAAGAGGAAGAAACAGACGAAGAGGAAGAGGTAGAAGAAGTGGTAGAAGAAGAGGAAGAGGAGGAAGAGGAAGAAGAAGAGGGAGGAAACGCGGAGGATGAGGAGGAAAAGGATGGAATAAAAATCTGGGAAGGAGAGGCAATTGGTGCTCAGATGAAAGAAGAGGGGAAACCAGCAGCAAGGGAGGAGGAGAAGGAGGAGCGGTTGGAGGAAAAGGAAAATCAGGCCGTATCTGAAAGATCTAGGATAGAGGAAGGTCGAGAATGGAACAAGGAAGGAATGGATGAAATGGAGAGGGAAATTATGAAAGAGGGAAGCGAGGGTGAGGGTGAGGGGGCAGCGGAAGAGGAGAGGGCAAGAATTGAGGAAAAGAGGAGTGCTGGAGAGGAGGATGAAGGGGACGGTCAGGAGCAGGGGCAACCTGAAAGTGACGAGGGGAGTGAGAAAAATCAAGATGTGGAGAAGGGAGAGAAAGATGGGAATGTGGAGAAGGGAGAGAAAGATGGGAATACGGACAAGGGAGGGTCCGATGAGAGGGATCAAGGGCTAAAGGAGGAAGGCATGGGAGGTGATGCTGAGGTGGCAATGGAAGGGGATATGGCAAGGGTTGAGGAAAAGAGGAATGGTGGAGAGGAGGATAATTGGGATAAGGGAAGGGTTGAGGAGAATAGGGATAGGGTAGAGGTGCCTCGGACCACTCTTGAGACTTCTTCAAGCACTGTGGAGGGCGAGCATAGAGGGCTAGAGGGTGGCGGCTCAGAGAGAGAAACTAGGAACGAGGGAGTGAGTGAGGGAAAGAGTGGGGGAGGGAGTGAGGAGACGAGTGCGGGTATGGTGGATGTGAAGAAGGATGAGCGGGTCGAGGATGAGGGGCAGAGAGGAGGTGGGAGGGAGGACGAGGAGGCGAAAATAGGGCAAGGAGACGGGGCAGGAGGGGCAAGTGCTGAAGGGGCGAATGCAGCAGTGGAAAACGGAGGAAAATCAGGAGGGGAGGTAGGAGGGGAGGCAGGAGGTGGAGTGAAGCAGGTGGTTGGAGAGGGTATTGAGACGCAGGAGATGGAAGTGGAGCGAGCAGAGGTGGGGCAGGGTGACGTGGGGGAGGTGGGGACTGGGCAGGGTGACAGAGGGGAGGTGGGGTCTGGGCGAGGTGACACAGGAGAGGTGGGGAGTGGGCAGGTTGACACAGGGGCAGGGGCAGCGGTGGGGGGGGCTGGAGAGCAGGACATGGGGGTTGGAGTGGGCATGGAGAAAGGGGTTGAAACCAGCAAGATGGAGGTTGAGAAGTCAAGTGTTGAGACTTCTCAAAGCCCTATAAGGGCTGGAAAGGACAAGGAGAGAGGGGCTGACACTGGCGACATGGAGGCTGAGAAACCAGGGGAGGATGTTGAAGGGGCTGGAAGGAGTATTGGTGGGGGCGATGGGGGAGAGACTGCACGCATGGACCAATCGGAAGGGTTAGGGGTGGAGCAGAGGGAAGGAGAGGGTCCAGGGGCGGAGTGCCAGGGATTGCGTGGTGCTGCAGAGGAAGCTGTTTTGGGGGCGCTTCAAGAGGGGCCTGAGGGGGTGGGACGGAGTGAAGGAGAGGAGGGCGTGGTAGGGAGGAAAGGAGAGGGGTCACAAGTTGCGGAGGGGCTAGATGGTGCGGTGGAGGGGTTGCATGGTGCACCAGCGGAGTCACTAGTTGCAGTATGTGACGCGGGGTCTGTGAGGGAATTTGAGGTTCGGAAGACGGAAGGAGCTGAGAAGAGCATAAGGGGAGAGAGTGAGGAGGAGAAGAGAGGGAAACAGCCGAGTGAGGAGGTGAGGGGGAAAGAGATTGAGGAGAGGAGGAGAATTGGAGAAGAGGAGGAAAAAGGCGTTCAGGTGCCTTCTGAAACGAGGGAAAGATCTGCTGTTTCTGAGATGCCTCGAAAACAGTCAGATAAAGAGGAAAGCATGGCGGGTGGTGCCGAGGCCGGCAATGATGGTGAAAGGGATGGTGAACCGGGCGGCAAAGTGGACGGCACAGAGGGCGGGTTTGAAGAGAGCAAAAGAGCAGAGAAGGTGGCAGGGGCAGGCGAGGGTGATAATGACAGTGACAGTCGGGGGAGTGGCGATGGGCGTCTAAATGGGCATGGTGATGGGCATGTGGATCGTCATTCGCCTGGGGATGGGGATGGGTTGGGGAAGGCTGTGGAATGTGAGAATGGGGAAGAGAAGAAAGGTGGTAGTCAATCTCGTGGGGAGGAAGTGGTTACAGGGAAGACAGACGAGGAGGGTGCAGGGCGAATGGTTACTGAGGAGAGCGGTGAGGAGACAGGTGAGGCAAGGGAGGAAGGCGAGAAAGGAGAAAACGGAGAGGAAGGAGGGAAAGGAGAGGGGGACGGGTTTGTTGGTGATAGCGGCGAGAATAAAATGCACGAGGTGGATGAGGGTGTGGGAGGAGGAAGGGGCGATGGGTCTGATGCTGGTGGTGATTCTGATGCAGAGGGTTTGGGGGAGAAGGAAGTAGTGGGTAGGGCAGAGGGGCAAGAGCAAAGGGAAGGAGCACAAGAGAAGGAGAAGAGGGGAGAGGAAGAAGGGAGAGGAGAGGAGGGGGGTGAGAAAAGCACGGTGGGAGGCGAGGATGGGGAGGGGAATGGTGGGATGAAGCTTGGAGTGGGAAGGAGTGGGGAGCAGGAGGAGATGGTTGCGGCAAGGAATGGGAGTAGAGGGGGCAATTTAGAGGATGATGATAGGGAGGATAAAGGTAGAAATGATGAGACGATACAGGTTGGTAGTGGAAGAGATGATGATAAAGGGGATGGTATTAAAGCTGAGGGAGTGGAGGAGGAAGCGGGGGAGGGAGTGAAGGAGCGAGTGGAGGAAGGAAGAATGGGTGAAGTAGTGGAAGAGATGGGCGGGAAAGGGGAAGAGAAGGGAGAGGAGAAGGATAAGGTGGAGAATGGGGAGAAGAACGAGGAGAAGGGAGAGGAGAAGGAGGAGAAGGAGAAAGGGGAGGAGAACGAGGAGAAGGGAGAGGAGAAGGATGAGAAGGAGAAAGGGGAGGAGAACGAGGAGAAGGGAGAGGAGAAGGATGAGAAGGAGAAAGGGGAGGAGAACGAGGAAAAGGGAGAGGAGAAAGAGAAAAGGGAGAAGGGGGAGGGGGAGGAGGAGAAGGGAGAGGAGAAGGAGGAGAAGGAGAAAGGGGAGGAGAACGAGGAGAAGGGAGAGGAGAAGGATGAGAAGGAGAAAGGGGAGGAGAACGAGGAGAAGGGAGAGGAGAAGGATGAGAAGGAGAAAGGGGAGGAGAACGAGGAAAAGGGAGAGGAGAAAGAGAAAAGGGAGAAGGGGGAGGGGGAGGAGGAGAAGGGAGAGGAGAAGGAGAAGGGGGAGAAGGATGACGAAAGGGAGGATGGTGAAGAGATGGAGGTGGACGAAAAGCCTGGGGAAGGGAACGAGGGTGGAGAGGAGGGGAAGGAAGTCGGGGGAAAGTTGGAGGAGAGGAAGGTCGAGGAAATGGGGAAAGAGGATGGGGGAAGAGAGGAGGTGAAAGAGGAGGAAGAGAAAGAGGAAGTGGAAAAAATTGAGAGGATGGAAGTGGAAGGAGAAAACGAGGAAGGGGCCAAAGAAAAGGTAGAGGAGGAGGAGGACGAGCGGGGGCGAAAGAAGGAGTTTGTGAATGCGAGTGAGAGAACGGGGATGGGAGGGGGTGATGGCAGTGGTGCGATGGAGAGGGGGAGGCGAGAGAAGCAAGGTAACGTGGCAGGGGCGGAAGACCAGTGTGAGATGGGGGTCCCTCCTGAATGGGAGGGAGAGAAGGGGGTGAACGAAACAGGACGAGTTGATGGGGAAGCAGGCGAAGTGAAGAGGTTGGGGATGGGAGAGGCAGGGGAAGGAGAGGGTCTGATGCTGGAGGGACAAGGACATCAGGTGCAGGGGGGAGTGGTGGGGGGTTTGGTGGAGGGAATGGTGGGGGGAGTGGTGGGGGGTTTGGTGGAGGGAATGGTGGGGGGAATGGTGGGGGGATCTGGGGAGTTGAAGGAGGCACAGCAGCCACAGGAGTGTGTTGATGGGTATGAGAAGGAAGGGGAGGAGGAGGCAAAGGGAGAGGACGGCAAGGGAGAAGAGGGTGAGGGTAAGGAGGATGGGACGGATGAAGCTGCAGTTGATGGTAGTCAGGTGGGGATGGGCGCAGAGATCAGCAAGTGTGAGGACGGAGCTGCTGATGCCTGTACGACAAGAGAGGGCAGTGGAGAGGGCAGTGGAGAGGGCAATGGAGAGGGCAATGGAGAGGGAAGTGGAGAGGCGATTGGAGAGGAGATTGGAAAGGGGAGTGGGGATGGCAAAAGTGAGGATGCTGCTGTGTGTGAGGGGGGGGGCACAGTCGAAGGAGACAGAGGTAGCTTGGGAGAGGGGGAGGGAGTGGTAGGGGAGAAGGAAGGGGGGAAGGAGGGGGGAGGAGTGGGAGGGGAGGGAAGAGAAGGAAGGTTGGTTGAGGAGGGAGGGGATGGGGGAAGGGGAGGCGGGGGAGAGGAGGGGGGCGAAGAGAAGGGGATGAGAAAGGGAGTGGTTGGGGAGGGAGGAAAGGAATGGCAAGAGAGAGGAGCAGGCGAAGGGATGCAAGAGGGAGAAGTAGGACAGGGGGAGGATGGTGAAGGGGAAGTGGGAGTGGTTAAAGTGAAGGGGGCGGGTCATGGAGACGAAGGAGAAGAGGGAAGAGAAGCAGGGCGAGAGATGGTGATGGTGGGGGGGAGTAGTCTGAACGAAGGAGGGAAAGAGAGTGTTGAAAGAGGACGGGAGACTGAGGGGATGATGGTGAGAGTTGGTCTTGAGGAACGAGGAGGAGCAAGAAGAGAAGCAAGTCGAGAAATTGTGGCGGTAGGCACGAAATTGGGCAAGAGAGCGGACAGAGCAAAGCTCAAGGCGGCAAAGAAGGTGCTAAAAAAAAAGACACGTAAAACGAGGATGAAGAGGCCATCAAAGGGGGGGGCGGTTCGGCAGTCTCTGGACGGGTCATTCTTTCAAAAGCAGGGCCGTTTGGAGGAAAGGGATGAGCTGATGGAGTCGTTTGCAGGGGTGTTTGACAGCACGCCCGGTGCGGTCTTCTCTGCTCTCATGCAGGGCGACTGGGAGGACCAGATCGTGTGGGGCAGCCCTGAACGCGCCGAGAGCTGGGAGGGAGAGGGTGAGGGACGGGAGAGAGTTGGAGTGGGGGTGACGGGGCATGAGGAGAGGGAAGGAGAGGAAGAGGAGGAGGAGGATGGGGAGGAAGAGGAGGAGCGGAATTTGAGGAGGCAGGGAGGTGGTGAGAGGGAAAACGGGGATGTGGAGGGGAAGATGGGAAGTGAAAGGCACATGGAGACGGATAAAGTGAAGATGGATGGCACGAGAGAGGGTGGTATTGGAGCAGAGCAAAGCAGCAAGGAGGAAGGGACCATTGAGAGGCTTGATATTTCTGGCGGGGAGGAATCAGACGAGGATCTAGAATGGGAGGATGGCGGCACAGGGGGCTCAGGTGAAGAGAAGGGTGAAAAGAGCAGTAAGGGTGGAGGGAAAAAGGGAGGTGTGCTGGTGGTGGCACGAAAGCAGCAGCCGCCAGCAGAGCTGGTGGGGCAGTATGGGGATGTGCTGGTGTATGATGATGGGGTGGTTCTTGAGCCCATAGGTGCGTCTTGGCCCAAGCCCAGGGCGTTCAGAGGCTGGGAGGAGGACGGAGAGGCTCGGGAAATCCACCCGCTGCTGCTCCGGCTCGAGTGCCAGGCTCGGGCCGAAGCTGGGGCCAAGGCTCGGGGAAGGAGGAAGGTGGGAGAAAAGGGAGGTGGGGTTGGAGGGGGAGAGGAAGGGAGTGGTGGTGGTGCAGGTGGGGAGGGGGCAGGGGGTGTGTCTGGTGACGCGGAAGGTGATGGTAGGGGCGATGGTGCTGCTGGTAAGCTTGATGAGAGGCCTGGGGATGAGCATGGGCGTGAGCACGAGGCCGAGGGAGAGGAGGGGGAGGATGAGGAGGAAGAAGAAGAGGATCCAGCCAAGGCGGCAGTGAGGAGGCGAGTGAGAGAGGTGCTGCGGACTGCAGCCGTGCCTAGAAACACAGAGCTGGACTCGGGCGCATGGTTGGATGCGGTGCTGTGGGGTGATGAAGATGAGGAGGAGGACGAGGCCGAGAAGAGGAGGGAGGCAGGTGAGGAGGAGAAGGAGGGGAAGAGGAAGGGTGGCGTGAGGGAAGGGAGAGAGGGGAGTGTCACTCCAGACGCTCCTGTTCTGCTGACCTTCTCCCAGGTGTTTCCACGGGCTTCAAGGCGCAAAAAGGTGCACAAGCCAACGAAACTGGCACCATCCACCGCGAGTGTGTCCTTGGCTCTCCCTGCTCGCCCTTCTCTCCCATCTCGCCCTGCTCCCCCGCGCATAATCTTTGACCTCAGCGATCGCCGCATGACCTTCCAGCTGGTGGGACCGGTGGGAGAAGTCACTGGGAGAGAAGGCTCTGGCGTGCGGGGCTCTGTGCTGGGGAGGGTATCCCTGGCGGGTGTGACTGAGGCAGGTGCATCTGGTGTAGGTGTTTCTGCGGCAGGTACGGGACCAGGTGGTGTAGTTGCAGGTGTGAGCGGCGTGGAGGAGGTTGCAGTGAGGGTGGAGGCAGGTGGAGAGGAAGTGGCAGGTGGTGCTGGGATGATCCGTTTGATTGACCATGCGCTGGCTATGATTGTGCCAGCTCAGCCGCGCGTCGTGCCACATCAGCATCAGCACATGCTGACGCTCCCCACATCAACGCCTGTAACAATCGGCGAAACAGCATCTGCACTGTCACCAAGACCAGCAGCTGCCGCTGCCACCCCTGCCACCAGCACCGCCGCAGCAGCAGCAGCAGCAGCAGCAGCAGGAGCAAGCGCGTCTGAACCCAGCAGCTCCAGCGTCCCTCCACCACCCTCTTTCTCCTCCACGCTCTCATCAGCACATCTCCCGTTCCCAGGCGACGCAGCAGCGGGGTGGCTGCCTCCTGAGTTCCTGGCAGAGGCAGCAGCGTGGGCGGTGGATTTCTCGCGGGACCATCTGTACCAGAGCAGCAAGGCGGGCGTGGGGGCGGTGGGCGGGGCCGGGGGTGGAGGGAAGGCGCATGGGAAGAAGCGCGCGAGCACGAGTGTGAAGGTGTACCACTCGCTGCCGGCTATTAGACTGCAGACGATGAAGCCACGACTGAGCAAGTGAGTGAGGGGTTGAGGGTTGTGATTGTGAGGCGCGGCGCGGGGAAGGCGCATGGGAAGAAGCGCGCGAGCACGAGTGTGAAGGTGTACCACTCGCTGCCGGCTATTAGACTGCAGACGATGAAGCCACGACTGAGCAAGTGAGTGAGGGGTTGAGGGTTGTGATTGTGAGGCGCGGCGCGGGGAAGGCGCATGGGAAGAAGCGCGCGAGCACGAGTGTGAAGGTGTATCATTCTCTGCCGGCTATTCGCCTGCAGACGATGAAGCCGCGACTGAGCAAGTAAGTGCGGGACTGGGGGGTTGAGTGCAGTGCTCCAATTGCTGATTGAGTGGTCGATTTTGAATCTGAAGGGGTACCACTTGCTGTCGGCCATCCGGCTTCAGACGATGAAGCCAGGACTGAGCGCGTGAGTGTGGGATTGTTCAAGGAAATCGTACCCTCCTAGGGGTTACAAGGAAATTGTACCCTCCTTCCCTCCCCTGTCTGTTCCCCCATCAACCCCCATCCTTCCCCAACTCCCCTGTCTGTTCCCCCTCCACCCGTCACTCCAGCAAGGACCTGTCTCGCTCCCACCGCCCGCAGGCGCTGTGGTTTGTGCACCAGAGCGAGGCGGCTTTTAAGATGTCTCACTGCTCTTCCAACCCCCCCCGTTCCCAATACTCCCCCCTCCTCCCTCCTCCAGCAAGGACCTATCGCGCTTCCACCGTCCACAGGCGCTGTGGTTTGCGCACCAGAGTGAGGCGGCGGCGAGGGCGCAGGGGCGCATGGAGGGGCAGGAGGGCAGCCTGCGCTTGATCGTGAGGACGCTGGGCAGCAAGGCTGTGAAGCTGCACGTGGGCGCTGGGGAGATGCTGGGTGCACTCCGGGCCAAGACTGCCAAGAAACTGGGAGGTGCGTGTGTGTTAGGGGCAGTCTGAGGGGGGTCGTGAGGACGCTGGGGAGCAGGGCTGTGAGGACGCTGGGGAGCAGGGCTGTGAGGACGCTGGGGAGCAAGGCCTTGAAGCTGCACGTGGGCGCCGGGGAGATGCTGGGTGCCTTGCGAGCCAAGACCGCCAAGACATTGGGAGGTATGTGGTAGGGCAGCCTGTGAGTGCTCGTGAGGACTCTGGGCAGCAAGGCTGTGAAGCTCCATGTAGGCGCTGGGGAGATGCTGGGGGCACCGCGAGCCAAAACGGCCAAGAAGCTGGGAGGTGGGTGGGTGGAACTGGGGGGTATGTCCTTGCTGCACAGGTCATGTGTTGCTGTTGCTGTTGCAAATTGCAAGAAGGCCAGGGGGCGAGCGTGCACAGGGCAAGCCGAGCACACAGCGGCACCCCCTTCCCTGCCCCGAACCCTGCTGTCTCTCTCCTCCGTTTCCCTCTCCATACTCTTCCCCTTACTATTCCTATGGACAGACATGAAGGAGAGCGAGCCAGTGCGTTTCTTCTCCAACTACCAGAAGGTCACAGCAGGCATGCCACTGGACGAGCACACACAAACAGCCCCTTCCTGCTCCCCACCCCTGCTTTCTCACCCCTCCTTTCCGCCCCCCTTGTGTTTTCCTCCTTTCCCCCTACGCCCAGACATGAAGGAGAGTGAGCCGGTACGCTTCTTCTCAAACAACCACGAGGTCACAGCAGGCAGGCCACTGGGCGAGCAGGGAGTGCAGAGCAACGCCATCATCCACGTCGTGCGCCCGCGCCTGCACCCCTGGGGGCGAGCGCACCTGAAGCTCCCCGGCGACAGCAAGCCCAAGCGTCCCCCCGGGGCGTTTCGGAAGAAGGCGGATCTGTCAGTGAAGGATGGCCACGTGGTGCTCATGGAGTGAGTGGGGGGGGGAAGGGAATGGGGGGGGAACTTGGGGGGATTTGAGGGGTTTTGGGAGGATTTGGGGGATTTGGAGGGTGTTGGGAGGGGTGAATGGTGGTGAGTGGGATAGGACTATTTCATCCGGCTTTCTCTTCCTTTCCCCTCCCCCCACTTTCTTCTCCCCCTCCACCTATCCCCCCCCCTCCCTCCCCGCCCCTTTCCCTCCTCCTTCTTTTCCCCCCCTCTCCCCCCCCCTCTCCCGCCCTTCCCCCCCCACCCGCAGGTACTGTGAGGAGCGCCCGTTACTCCTGAGTAACGTGGGCATGGGCGCCCGGCTCGCCACCTACTACCGCAAGATCTCGTCCGTCGATTCCGGCGCCGCTGCGATCCGGGACGTCCCTTTCTCCGGCTCGGTGATGCCGCTCGAACCGGACGAGGAGTCCCCGTTCCTGGGCGACGTCAGGCCCGGCACGAGCCAGTCCAGCCTCGAGACGAACCTGTTCCGAGCCCCGGTGTTTCGGCAGCATGTGCCGCATACGGACTACCTGCTTGTCCGGTCGCCGAAAGGGAAGCTTTCTATAAGGAGGATAGATGGCATGCAAGTGGTGGGGCAACAGGAGCCGCATATGGAAGTTATGAATCCGATCTCTAAAGCTGCCGTACTCCATAGTAGCAACCGCCTTATGGTTGAAGTCTGTCGGACGTTTCGTGATTATGACAAGGATAAAGACGGCGGCGGGAGCGGCGGTGGGAAGGGAGCGGCGCAGGGGAAGGGTGGGAAGAAGGGGGGGCGGCGGGCAGTGGTGAACGCGCCTAAAGTAAGGGCGGATGATATTGCCGCGCAGTTCCCCACGCTCACCGAGGGGCTTATAAAGAAGCGGCTTAAAACGTGTGCGGAGCTGCAGCGGCTGGAGGGCGGGGAAATGTGGTGGGTGATGCGGAGAAACTTCCGGGTTCCTTCCGAGGAGGAGCTGAGGAGAATGGTGACTCCAGACTCGGTGTGCTGCCATGAAAGCATGCTCGCAGGCCTGCACCACCTTCGACGAATAGGAATCCGCCACCTCACCAACGCATCGCCGCCTCTCAGCACCGCCATCGCCCAGCTTCTCCCAGACAACCCGATAAAGATGGCAGCGAGTCTGCTTATAGAGAGGGAGTTACTGCTCACTCCCTGGAATTTATCCCACAACTATGTATCGAGTATGACTCACGGGAAAGGGGGGTTAGAGAAGCTGGAGATAAGTGGAGCGGGGGACCCTTCGGGGCGGGGCCTGGCGTTTTCCTTTCTCAAGATTCAGCACAAGCAGCCAGGAGCTGAGAAGATCAAGGTGGTTGAAAAGCGGGCGGCGCAGGCTCGGGGCGGGGCGGCGGTGACAGGCACGGACGCGGACCTGCGCAGGCTCGGGATGGAGGCGGCTCGGGAGGTGCTGCTGAAGCTAGGAGTGGCAGATGAGCAGATTCAGAAGATGGGGCGGTGGCACAGGATAGCCCTAGTCCGAAAGCTGTCTTCGGAACAAGCGGCCGCTGCTGCGGGGAAGAGTGGTGATTCCGTCGCTGCGCTGAATAAATTCGCGCGCGGGCAGCGCATGTCGTTCTCGCAGCTGCAGCTGCAGACGCGCAGCAAGTGCCAGGAGGTGTGGGAGAAGCAGGTCAGGAGCTTGTCTGCCCTGGCGGAAGGGGAGGAGGAGGAAGAGGAAGAGCTGTTGGGGGACTTAGACTCGTTTGCGGGGGACTTAGAGAATCTGCTGGAGGCTGAGGAGGGCGGGGAGGAGGAGAGGGAGGGGGGTGGGGCGAGAGGAGGGGGCGTGGGGGGGATGAGGAGGAGGAGGGCTTGGGAGGTGCAGCGAGAGGAGGAGCTTGAGGATGAGGAGGCAGAGGCTGCTGCGCTCAGGCGCATGCTGCTGGAAGGTGGGTTGGGAATGGTTGTATGCGGTGATGGGTGGTGACTGTGGGTGGGCTGATGTGTGGTGAGGTTCAACAGTGGGCGTGGGAGGTGCAGCGAGACGAGGAGCTGGAGGATGAGGAGGCAGAGGCTGCTGCGCTCAGGCGCATGCTGCTTGGAGGTGGGTTGGGAATGGTTGTATGCGTGAACCTTAATCTGGGGGTGAACCTTCATCCGGGGGTGAACCTTCATCCGGGGGGTGAACCTTAATCTGGGGGGTGAACCTTCATCCGGGGGTGAACCTTCGTCCGGGGGTGAACCTTCGTCCGGGGGTGAACCTTCGTCCGGGGGTGAACCTTCGTCCGGGGGTGAACCTTCGTCCGGGGGTGAACCTTCGTCCGGGGGTGAACCTTCGTCCGGGGGTGAACCTTCATCCGGGGGTGAACCTTCATCCGGGAGTGAACCTTCATCCGGGGGTGAACCTTCATCCGGGGGTGAACCTTCATCCGGGGGTGAACCTTCATCCGGGGGTGAACCTTCATCCGGGGGTGAACCTTCATCCGGGGGTGAACCTTCATCCGGGGGTGAACCTTCATCCGGGGGTGAACCTTCATCCAGGGGTGAACCTTCATCCGGGGGTGAACCTTCATCCGGGGGTGAACCTTCATCCGAGGGTGAACCTTCATCCGGGGGTGAACCTTCATCCGGGGGTGAACCTTCATCCGGGGGTGAACCTTCATCCGGGGGTGAACCTTCATCCGGGGGTGAACCTTCATCCGGGGGTGAACCTTCATCCGGGGGTGAACCTTCATCCGGGGGTGAACCTTCATCCGGGGGTGAACCTTCATCCGGGGGTGAACCTTCATCCTGGGGTGAACCTTCATCCGGGGGTGAACCTTCATCCGGGGGTGAACCTTCATCCGGGGGTGAACCTTCATCCGGGGGTGAACCTTCATCGGGGGGTGAACCTTCATCCGGGGGTGTACCTTCATCCGGGGTGAACCTTCATCCGGGGGTGAACCTTCATCCGGGGGTGAACCTTCATCCGGGGGTGAACCTTCATCTGGGAATGAACCTTCATACGGGGGTGAACCGGGGTGAACCTTCATCCGGGGGTGAACCTTCATCCGGATGGCCTGTGGTTTGATCGCTGCAGCATGGCTTGCTTGAGGGGAGGATCGTGGAGGCCTGGCTTGCCTCCACGCTTTGTGCTCTTTCAGATTGATCTTTCTCTGCCTTTGTGCGTGGATGGCATGTTTGTGCATCGTCTGTGTGTACATATGTGTGCATGCATCCTGTGTGTGTGTGAGAGTGTGTGTGTGGGTGGGGAAGGTGCGTGTGGGGGTGGAGAGGGGGATGCGCGGGGGTGGGAACGGGGATGGGGGCGCACGGCGCGGGTGCGTGCATGTGCATGTGCGTGTGCATGGGTGCGTGTGCATGGGTGCGTGTGCATGGGTGCGTGTGCATGGGTGCGTGGATGCATGGATGCATGGTGGCATGGGTGCATGGTGGCATGGATGCATGGATGCATGGTGGCATGGGTGCATGGTGGCATGGATGCATGGATGCATGGTGGCATGGGTGCATGGATGCATGGTGGCATGGATGCATGGTGGCATGGATGCATGGATGCATGGTGGCATGGGTGCATGGATGCATGGTGGCATGGATGCATGGTGGCATGGATGCATGGATGCATGGTGGCATGGGTGCATGGTGGCATGGGTGCATGGATGCATGGTGGCATGGATGCATGGTGGCATGGATGCATGGATGCATGGTGGCATGGGTGCATGGTGGCATGGGTGCATGGTGGCATGGATGCATGGATGCATGGTGGCATGGGTGCATGGTGGCATGGGTGCATGGTGGCATGGATGCATGTGTGCATGGTGGCGTGCAGATGATGATCCCAAGGAGAACAGCAAGAAGAAGAAGGATAAGAAGAAGGAGAAGGAGAAGAGCAAGGAGAAAGAGAAGGAGAAGGAGAAGAAGGAGGATGGAGGGGAGAGGAGCAGCGCTGCAGCTGCCAAGCACGGCGAGGCAGGAGCAGGAGGAATGGTGGTGCGTCCTTGGCTTGGCTCCTTCCTTGGTTTTCCTTGGGCTGTATTTGCCTCCTTGCCACCTCCCATCTCTTCCCCCCCCCTCCCTTGCATCCTTGCATATGAAACGGTTTATTGTCCTCAAATTCTTCGCAATCCGCTTCCTCCTCCTCACTCCTCCCCTCTCATCTCCGTGCCTCCCTTCTCCTCCCGTCTCTCCCCCCTCCACCCCTCTCCTCCCATCTCCCCATTCTCGTCCCTCCTCCCTCACGTTCAGGACCAAGAGGCTGGGAAAGTTGCAGCAGCATCAGCAGCAGGAGGCGCTGAGGGGGCCGGAGGGGCAGCGGTGGGTGCGGAGGGGAAGAAGCGGGTGGTGGTGAAACGGCTGAAGAAGAAGATCAAATCGCGGCTTCCCGATGGCACGTTTGTGTTCAAAGAGATCATCATCACGGACCCACAGCTGGTATGTGGATTCTAGAGTGTGCATCCTGTGGTGTTCCTATGCACTTGTCAAGCTTTCCTCACCACAGGCAGCCCGACGGCACGTTGGTGGTCTAGGAGGTCACCATCACAGACAGACAGGCCCACTGCAGGCATGTATGTGGCAGGCAGGCAGTATATGCAAAGCGTGCATGGCATGGCAGGCAGTGAGCGTGTGTAACCACTGATAGTGTAACCACTTATAGTGTAACCATCAATTTACCACTGATAGCTGGATCGCACGGTGTTGGTCAAAGAGATCATCATCACGGACCTGCAGTGGCAGGTAGTGGCAGGCAGTGGCAGGTAGTGGCAGGTAGTGGCAGGTAGTGGCATGGCAGGTAGTGGCAGGTAGTGGCAGGTAGTGGCAGGTAGTGGCAGGTAGTGGCAGGTAGTGGCATGGCAGGTAGTGGCATGGCAGGTAGTGGCAGGTAGTGGCAGGTAGTGGCAGGTAGTGGCAGGTAGTGGCATGGCAGGTAGTGGCAGGTAGTGGCAGGTAGTGGCAGGTAGTGGCAGGTAGTGGCAGGTAGTGGCAGGTAGTGGCAGGTAGTGGCATGGCAGGTAGTGGCAGGTAGTGGCAGGTAGTGGCAGGTAGTGGCAGGTAGTGGCAGGTAGTGGCAGGTAGTGGCAGGTAGTGGCAGGTTGTGCGTGCGTGCGTGAGTGGCAGGCAGTGGCAGTGGGGTGCATCTGAAGGCATGGCAGGCACGGCAGACTGTGAACCCAAGGGCCAGACAAGCAACTTCTGAATCGACTCAAAGGTCATTTCTTCCTTCCACCCCCCACTCTCCCTCTCTCCCCTCCCTCCCTCCCTCTCTCCCCTCCCCCTCCGCCCCTCTCTCTCCTCCCCACCCCCCCCAGATCGAGGCTGAGATGGCCAAGCGATCAGCCCTGGCAGCACAGAGAGGCGCGGCAGGGGGAAAAGGAGGGCAGCAGGCAGAGCAGCAGGCGGGGCAGCAGGCGGGGCAGCAGGAGGGGCAGCAGCAGGAGCAGGGAGGAGGGGCAGAGAAGGGCCAAGCAGGTGCAGACGAAGCAAGCAAAGCTGCTGTGCCCGCCCCTCCCTCCCAACCACCTGCCACACCTTCGAAAAAGGCTGCCCCAGATAAGGTAAGCTCCTGTCGTTGCCTTTGAGCCCTACCTTTTCGAATGGTCCTTCATTGAATAAAGCATGTGATACAGCACGATACGGTATAACGTACAGGCTTCCTTTGAGTCGCTGTCCTTCCCTCTGTCCTTCCTTCCCTCTCCCACCCCGCTTCTTTGTCCCCGACGTCCCATCCCCTCCGACCTTTCTTTCCCTCCAGCTCTCCGCCCCCACTTTACTCACCTGTTTGATCGAATCCGTGCTCGGTACACTGTTCACTCATTGCTCTCGGTACTCGTTGCTCACTACTGCGACTCCCCGAGAATCATGCGTGTAGTGAGTCGATTTTTGAGTCGACTCAAAAATTGCTCTCGGTGCTCATTGCTCACTACTGCGACTCCCTGAGAATCATGTCTGAGGTACACTGTTCACTCATTCTCTCTGTTGTTACTGTGCAGGGGGGTGAGGGCGAGGGGGCAGGAAAGAAGCGGAAGAGGGGAGGGCAGGCAGGAGCCAAGGCAGAAACCCCCGCCAAGGGAACCCCCTCTAAAGGGACCCCCACTCCCACCAAGAAGGAAGCTGCTGGGAAGAAGGACGGCAGTGGGCCAAAGAAAGGACAGAGGGCGTCAGTGGTGTGTGGGGCGTGCGGGCAGGAGGGGCACATGCGCACTAACCGCGCTAAGTGTCCCCTCTATATGGAGGATGAAGAGGGAAATCAGATTCACAGGGATGGGGCGCTGGCAGAGGGGTTGTTAGAGAGGAAAGGGACGAAGATTAAAATTAAGTCGAAGCTGCTGCTGGGGAAGGCTGGGGGAAAGGGGGGAGTTGAGGGGTCGGGTGGAGGAGTGAGTGGTGCTGGGGGGTGGAGTGGGGTGGGAGGCGGTGGTGGGAAGGTTGGTTCTGCTGGTGCCGGTGGTGTTGGTGAGGGTGCAGGCGATGGTGGTGCTGCTGATGCTGGGGATGGGGAGGATGGATTTGATTTTGATCTGACAGCCACACAGCCTAGCCAAGCCAGTTATGGTGCTGGTGCTGCTGCTGGTGGTGCTGCTGGTGGTGATGGTGATGCTGGTGTTGGTAAGAAGGGTAAGGAGAAAAAGGAGCGGAAGGAGAAGAAGGGGAAGAAGGGGAAGAAGGAGAAGGAGGAGAAGAAGAAAGGGAAGAAAAGTTCTCACTCTGCTTTGGATGATGAAGTTCCTGCTGATGCAGAAGCTATTGCCGGCGATGTTGACGCTGATGCTGATACCGATGGTTATGGTGCTGTTGGTGCTGGCAATGCAGATGATGCTGTTGATGTGGATTATGGTGATGGTGATGATGGCGATGGTGGCATTGGTGGCGATTATGGTGTTGGTGGTGATGGGTATGGTCATGGTATGGGTGCTGGTCCTGGTGATGGGAGTGGGGATGGCAGTGCTGATGGTGTGACATCCCCCCACTGCCCTCGCTCCAAGACACGACACGAGTCCCCAGGAGGAGAGTCTCCCTCTGCTCACGAAGCTTCCATGCAGCTTCAACTTGCGGACAACACTATAGAGAGGATCACGGGAGGAGGTGTGGGCGAGAGGGAGGGGAGTGAGAAGGGAGGGAGTGAGAAGGGGAGGAAGAGGGGAATGGGGAAGAAAGTTTCTCTGAAGGTGAAATTCCCTAGTGTGAAGATCAAACTGGGAGGCAAAGGAGGTTCCGAGGCGCAAGGGAATGTGGGGGATGGGGAGGATTGGCATAGAGGAAAAGGGCGAGGGCGGGGGGAGGAGGATTTGGCAGGGATGCATGGCGATATCAGGGGTGAGGGGTGGCAAGGAGAGGGGGACAAGGGAGGAGATGAGGAGGGGGAGGTTGGTGGTGAGGGAGAGGAGGAGGAGGGGCATTTGGAGGGATGGGGGAGGAAGGAGGAGAAGAAGAGGAAGCGGAAGAGGAGAGAGAGGGGTGGGGTGAACAGAGGGTTGGAGAGGCAGGAGGGGGATGGTGGGCAAGAGGGGGGAGGGGCAGTAGGAGCAGGGGAGGATGAGGAAGGTGGGAGGAAGAGCGGAACACAGGGTGAGGAGGAGAGGAGTGTTGGGAAGAAAAGTGGGGAGTTTCAGAAAAGGAGGAGGAACGAGGGGGAGGGGGACAGGGAGTGGCAGGAGGAGAGTGTGGAGGAAGGATACCATAAGCCGAAGAAGCTGAGGAGAGAGGAGAGGAGCGCACGTGGGGAGAGGACTGCGGATGAGGAGGAGGAGAGGGGGCGACAGGAGCAGCAGCAAGAGGAGGCAGAGGCAGCGGCAGAGAAGCAGGGCAGGAGAGGTGATGAGATGCGGCAGCGATTCAAGAAGGCAGCAAGGGGTGGGTTAGATCCGTTCGAAGAGGAAGGAGAGATGGAAGAGGTGAAAGGTAGTGTGAGGAATGAAGAATGGGAGAGAAGGCAGGGGAGTGAGAGGAAGGGCGAGAAGAGGAGGGAATGGAGGGAAGAGCATGAGAGGGAGAAGGAGAAGAAAAGGGAGAAGGGGCTGGAGAGTGAAGCTATTGGCAGTTATGCCGAACCTCACCCTGCTGCGAGGAGGCTTGCTGCTTCGGAGAGGGAGCGAGGAGGCTCGGCATCACCAGGTTCGGTAGACAGGCTCGGTAAAGCTGCTGGTAAGGACAGGCATGGTGAAGGGTGGGTTGGAAAAGAGGGTTGGGAGAGGGGGAGGAGTGAGGAAGGAGAGGGTAAGGTGCACGAGAGAAAAGGGGAGGAGAGGGAGAGGAGGAAGGATAGGGTAAAAGAGAGCAGGCATTATGAAGACAAGGATAGGGAGAGAGTAAGGCACAAGGAGAGGGATTGGGAAGGAGTAAGGGAAAGGGAGAGGGATAGGGAGATAGGGAAGGAGAAAGGAGAAGGAAGGATATTGAAGCTAAAGCTTGAGAGGAAAGATAGTGAGAGGGATAGGGGAGGGGAACGAGCAAGGGAAAGGGAGAGGGATACTGGGGTGCGGAGAGGGGGGAATGAGGTGGATAGGGATGGATGGGAGGAAAAGGGGCAGGAGAGGAAGCAGGATCGTGAGTGGGGACGCGAGAAGGACAAGGGCGAGGAGAAGAGGAGAAAAGGAGATGCACACGGGGAGAGAGATGAGTGGAGGGGAAGGGAAGATAGGGACCGGAAAGAGACGAGGGAGGGGAGAGAAGAGAGGGAGGGGAAAGAGGAGAGGGAGCGGAGGCGAGAGAAGGAGAGGAAGGAGAAGGAGAGGAGGGAGGAGAGGGAGAGGAGGGAGGAGAGGGAGAGGAGGGAGGAAAGAGAAAGGTCTCGTTCTGTAGGTATTGAAGAGCCACGAGGGAAGGGCCGAGAGGAGAGAGAGGTGAGAGAGGAGAGAGACAGGGACTGGCAGGAGGAGGAGAGGGGTCACGGGCATGGTGGGGCGCATGGAGGGAAACGGCACAGTTCTCAAGCTCTTAAGGGACCTCGCTCAAAGGGGGTAGCGGGAGAGGGAGCGAAGCGCAGCGCTACTCCTGGTGCTTGGGACAGTGGTGGTGGGCGGAGCGAGGGGGGGAGAGGAGGAGGGCCGGCTCTGAAGCGTGTGAAGCTGCCTGAAGGGGGTGTCCTGGTGAGTGTTCAAGAGAGGCCTAACTGAAACCAGTTCCACTCTTTTGGCTTCTTTTGCAGATGGGATATGACGATGAGTGACTTTGTTTGTTTATTGTGTGCTGCTCTGCTCTTTGTTAGTGGTCTTGCTCACTCCCTTGTTGCTCATCTCTGTTTGCGTGCAGGCCAAAGATTCTCTACGGAACATCTTCAATAACGTGCTTGCCTTTCTGCGGCTCCATGCGGATATTTCCTACATTTTCCAAAAGCCAGTCACAAAGAAGGAAGCTCCAGACTACCATACAGTCATCAAGCATCCCATGGATCTTTCGACCATGTCCAAGAAAAACCGGCAAGGAGTGTACATGTCTCGGGATTCCTTCTGGAGCGACATGAAGCTGATTCAACGAAATGCACATGTTTACAATGAGACTCGTAACCCGGGCATCCCTCCGGTCGCTGATCAGTTGGCAAACCTCTGTGCGCAGGAATTGGAAAAACACAGGGAAGAAATTGCTGATGCAGAAGCAAGGCTTAGTTCGTTCGTTACATAACCGATTTATGTAACTGGAAATTGTGTTGCTGGTTCTTACATAACCTAGTGTACATATCATGGTGCTATGGTGTGACGGTGTATCGATCGTGAGTGTACCTCTTTCGGTTTCGTTCTCTTGCCCCAACGGCAACTGACAAGTCTGTTGGTTGGGCGTGGGCTGGAACTTGCGCGACACTCCCAAGATTTCCCGCCAAATTTGCTGCCACAACTTCAAGGTTGGCTCCGCCTTTTCCCTGATCATGCGCTCGCTCACGTTCCCCTGCACCCCCCCCCGGGTCTCCTCTCTCACCTCGCCTCGCCTCCCTCCAGCAGCACTCCGCAATGTTCCGATTACTGATTGCCGTTGTTTTTGTTGCTAGTCCGAAGTTGTGCAGGCTAGAGTTTCCCGAATCTGTTCAACGTCCCTGCAGTCCTCCCATTACAGCGTCTTTCGTGCTTCGTGTTCGTAACTGCGCTACTTCGTTGATGTGCGGCTTCGTTGAGTCGTAAGCAAAGCAGACTTTTGTGTTAGTGGCGATTCCAAGGAGCAGTGCTGGTTCTGTCGCGCATGTGGCTGCTGCGGTGCTGCGTGCTCACAACACCGACATAGATTGCTACAGTGTACCACAAAATGTGGTCAGTTTATTATGAACGACTCACATTTCTGACTCCATTTTGCAGTCAGGCGATGCTGTAGTCTCGTCGTCCCACCGTTTTAACATACGCAGTCATTCCGGCCAATCACAACGCCATTCTTCCCTCTAACTGAAACTGCGTTACGAAGACCGCACTCACGCTCCAGATTTCGCGCCTAACTTCAGCAGCTGCTCGCCGGAAGCCTACCCGAAATTTATTGGAAATTTATTCGTTTAGACGACTAAAGAAATCCATAGCTACTTGAACCTCGGGTGTCGCAGTTCCGATAGCGACTACGCAAGCGAAAGCTCGAAGTTTTCATACTCGTTATTGTCATTCGTGATTCTCTCTCACCTATCACCCTCACGTAGCCATCGATAGTCAGGCCAGCGGCCATGCAGTTCCTGCGATCGGTCCTGGGGACTGGTGGAGGGGCGAAGGAGTTTCCGTATAACATCGGCGAAGCTTACCCGTCAGCATGGGGCCCCTGGACGCATCAAAAAGGCACCTGCAAGGTGCGAGGTCCTGCTACTTAAATTGTCGCTGATTTTCTTTGGGCCGTTTTTTAGGGGGCTGAGAAGTCTGATTGCCTTGCAAATACTATTCTTAATTCTTACAAGCACCCGCCAGGTGCGAACTCCCGAGCTGGCCTAGCGGTCGCTGGGTACAATATTAGTGGCTGATCGTGGTGATATCGTGAGGCGCGTGAGAATGTGAGAAGGGATGTGGGAGCTGTGTACTAAGGAGAAGATCGTTTCAACTGCTGATCGTATATTGATGTCCTCCCTCTCACGTTGTGCACGCCACCTTATACCATGTAGTATAAAGTGACACATTTGTGTATGACTGTTCATTGTTCGTGTACGTGAATCCGTGTGCTCTGCGTGTAATATCAGGAGGACGGCAGCGCGGTATCGATTTTCTCCATAACGGGTTCGAATCCTCAAGATGCCAGGCTTCCTCCTGCCCGAAACTGCGTTAAGCGACTCAGAATGGTGCGTTCAGCGATATCAAAAGGCTCGTGAATCTGAGATATCAACGCTCATGTATCTACAGTTGTTGCAATTCTAAGCTTATGAACCAGCAGCCAGATGCTCTTCTGTCGTTTCCCCCGCGTGCAAAAACCCTCCCTTCCTCCCCACGCCCCCCCCTTCCCTCATTTCCGCACCTTACCTTCGAAATTTCTCGTTGCCAGCTGCGGCACCCGAACGTGCTGTCGTTTCTGAACAGCCTGGAGGTGGAGCGTTTCCGAACCCTCATTACTATGTCCTTCCCCTTCCGCTCCCCCTTCCCCCATCCGCACCTTTCCTCCACACCCTCACCTTGCCAGCTGCGTCATCCGAACGTGTTGTCGTTCCTGAACAGCCTGGAGGTGGAGAAGGAGGAGGGCGGCGTGCAGAAGCCGACCATCTACATCATCACCGAGCCCGTCATGCCACTGGACCTCCGACTTAAAGAGCTCAAACTCAAGGGGCCGCAGAGGTAAGGGAGATGTGTTTGAGGGGGAGGGATGGGTTTGGGGGATGGGAGGCATGGGGTGGACGGGATGAGGTTACAGGGGGAATCGGAGGGCTTTGTGCAGAAGCCCACCATATACATCATCACAGAGCCTGTCATGCAATTGGACATCCGGCTTAAAGAGCTCAAGCTCAAGGGGCCGCAGTGGTGAGAGGACTGCGGGGGAAAGGGAGGGGGAGGGAGGGAATGGGAGAGGAAGAGGGCAGGAAAGGCAGAGGTCAGTATGCAGAGCGGGTGCAGAGGGTAGGTATGGCGTTGCTGTGTGTTCTGTGAGTGCGTGCTGATCAGACGCCAGTCTGAGCTGTGCTGTGTGCGTGGCACTGCTGTGCTGGTGTGCAGGGATGAGTACTACGCATGGGGATTGCTGCAAGTGGCCAAGGCTGTCAGCTTTCTCAACAACGACTGCAAGCTGGTGGGTTCATCAGACATACATAAAAAGCCCCCTTGCCCCATCATGTCTTCATGCCCCCTTTCAATCACCCATCCTCAATCCATCCCCTCCCCCTCACCCATCCTCTCCCTGCCATGCAAGCAAGTTGTGTAGTGCAATGTGTGAATGGCAATGTGTTTGCCTGGTCTGGTCTGGACGTCTTACCAAGCGTTTGCCTTTTCACCCTGATTCATCTTCTCCTCCCTGATGCCATCTGTATGCATCCCCCCACTCTGCAGGTGCACGGCAACGTGTGCATGGCATCAGTGGTAACCATCGCTGTACTGGTCTTGTGCATTTTCTGACTTCCCTCCTCGGTGTCACCACCTACCCCCATCTTCCTCGCAATCCTGCAGGTGCACGGCAACGTGTGCATGGCGTCGGTGGTAACCACCGGTGCGCTGGATTGGAAGCTGCACGGCTTTGATGTGTTGTCAGAGTTCGATGGGGGCAAGGCAGACGCCCCTGAGGGGCCCATGCTGGTGAGAGATGGAACAGCTGCTGAGGGAAATTCGTAGTGCTTATTAGTTAGTGGCATTGGGACATTGGGACATTGGTCGTGGCAGTATACAGTCATGCCCTTGGTCTTCTTTCCGTTCTCTCTTTGCCCTTGCTATTTCATGCTCGTCTCTTTCCCCTAGCCTTGCTTTTCCTGCTTTCGACCTCTTCCCCTCTTCCTCCTCCCGTCTCCTTGGCATGTATGTGCGGCATGTGCATGTGCGTTGCCTTCTGCATGTGCATCAACTGCACCATCCACCATGCCCCATACACACCATCAGCCGTACGAGTGGATGGTGGGAGCGCAGTACAAGTCCATGGAGCTCGCCAAGAGCGACTGGGCGGCCATCAGGAAGGGCCCTCCCTACGCCATTGACTCCTGGGGCCTTGGTGAGTGACCTGTGTTTTCCCAGCTATTTGTTTTCCACAATCGGGCTGTCTGCCATTGCTTCCTTACTAGCCAAGAGCAACTGGCCGGCCATCAGGAAGGGCCCTCCCTACGCCATAGACTCCTGGGGCCTTGGTGAGTGATATGATATGTGCTACCACAGCTGGTATTTTATCACACAAATCCTATCCGCCTCCGTTCCTTCAGTAGCTAACAGTGGCTGAAATCGTCTCCCCTCCCCCTTCCCCTTTCCACCTGCCCTTCTTCTGTCTCCGCTTTTTGTTATTCTCAGTCTTTTCCCCTGTTATTATGTCTTACACTTCCGTTTCCTCTGCTACCTCTCTCCCCAAACCTTGCAGGCTGCTTGATTCAGGAGGTGTTCTCGGGGCACCAGCTGACGCGCACAGAAGAGCTTCGAAACACAGCTTGCATTCCCAAGGTGACGCACATGCATTACCAATTTGTTTAGCTTGCTTGCCTCTCTTACCCTGGCCCCTTCCCCCCCACCATCCACGCACTCAGACCTGACTCCGCGAAGGTCTTGAAGCCATTTCCCCTTTCTTCACCCTTGCTTCAACCTCCCCTTTCCCCACCCTCCCCCCTCCTTCTCCACGCACAGACGCTTCTCCCTGACTACCAGCGTCTGCTCAGCTCCGCCCCTGCCAGGCGACTCAACCCTGCCAAGCTCATTGACAATAGTGGTGCGTGTGCAATTTTTACAGTTGGATCTAGCCAGAGTGCAAGAATTGACAGTTGGATTAGGTCAACGTTCGAGCATGGCGCACCTGTCTCCTCGTACCACTCTCCATCCCACCCCATCCCTCCCCGTCTATCCCTGCTGCCCCACACATTCCAGAGTTCTTTCAGAACAAGCTGGTGGAGATGGTGCAGTTCAGTTCATGGAGGTCCTCAGCCTCAAGCATCAAACGTCAAGCCCAGCATACCTCCCTTCCATCCCCTGTGCCCATGCACTTTCCCCCCCCCCATTCCAGAGTTCTTTCAGAACAAGCTGGTGGAGACAGTGCAGTTCAGTTCATGGAGATGCTCAGCCTCAAGGGGCCAAGCTATGCAAGGGCAGCTCACCTTCCTCCCTCCCTCCCTCCCTCCCTCCCTCCCTCCCATCACTCACACCTCACAGAGTTCTTTCAGAACAAGCTGGTGGAGACGGTGCAGTTCATGGAGGTGCTGAGCCTCAAGGGGCCAAGCTATGCAAGGGCAGCTCACCTTCCTCCCTCCCTCCCTCCCTCCCTCCCATCCCTCTCACCGCACAGAGTTCTTTCAGAACAAGCTAGTGGAGACGGTGCAGTTCATGGAGGTGCTGAGCCTCGAGCATCAAGCATTCTGCACCCTCCGTGTTAACACCCCCCACCCCACACATTCCATTCCAGAGTTCTTTCAGAACAAGCTAGTGGAGACGGTGCAGTTCATGGAGGTGCTGAGCCTCGAGCATCAAGCATTCTGCACCCTCCGTGTTAACACCCCCCACCCCACACATTCCATTCCAGAGTTCTTTCAGAACAAGCTAGTGGAGACGGTGCAGTTCATGGAGGTGCTGAGCCTCAAGGACAGCGTGGAAAAGGACGGCTTCTTCCGCCGCCTCCCCGCCCTCTGTGACCAGCTCTCGCGCCCCATCCTGCTCAACAAGATCCTGCCCCAGCTCGCCTCTGCTCTTGAGTTCGGGTCTGCACCTGCTCCTGCACTGACTGTGTTGCTGAAGCTGGGCGGGTGGCTCAACCAGGAAGATTTCAACGCTAAGGTGGGCGTGTGTTCAGTGCGGTGCAGGTAGGTGGTACATGTTTTCTGTGTGTGCGTGCACCAGCAGCAGCAGCACCACCACCACAACCACCACCACCACCACAGCCGCCAGCCCTGTGACCAGCTCTCGCGCCCCATTCTGCTCAGCAAGCTCCTCCCGCAGCTCGCCTCCGCCCTCGAGCTTGGGTCCGCCCCCCGGTGCCCGCCCTCACTGCGCTGCTCAAGCTGGGCGGGTGGCTTAGTGCTAAGGTAAGTTGGTGGTGGTCTGTGGTGGAGGTAGAATATGTTTGTTGTGTATGGACGCACCACCAGCAGCACCAGCACCAGCACCTGCCCTCTGTGACCAGTGAGTGTGTGAAGTCTGACAAGCGAAAGAATTTCACAAGTGTTGCGAAAGGAGAGGTGGTTGGTGTTCATATCCGTGTTACACACAGTCATTGCACAATAGTCAACAAAGAAAGCAGGAAAAAACGTGAACACAAGAGAAAAAGCCGCCGCCCGTGGGGCTCGAACCCACGACCACAAGGTTAAGAGCCTTGCGCTCTACCAACTGAGCTAGGGCGGCTGACAATCACAAAACTGAGCTAGGACGCACCAGCAGCACCAGCAGCACCAGCACCAGCGCCACCACCTGCCCTCTGTGACCAGTGAGTGTTTGAGGTCTGACGAGCGAAAGAATTTCAACAGTGTTGCAAAAGGAGAGGTGGTTGGTGTTCATATCCGCGTTACACACAATTATCTAACAATAGTCAACAAAAGAAAGCAGGAAAAAACATGAAAAAACATGAACACACATGAACACACATGAACACACATGAACACACATGAACACACATGAACACACATGAACACACATGAACACACATGAACACACATGAACACACATGAACACACATGAACACACATGAACACACATGAACACACATGAACACACATGAACACACATGAACACACATGAACACACATGAACACACATGAACACACATGAACACACATGAACACACATGAACACACATGAACACACATGAACACACATGAACACACATGAACACACATGAACACACATGAACACACATGAACACACATGAACACACATGAACACACATGAACACACATGAACACACATGAACACACATGAACACACATGAACACACATGAACACACATGAACACACATGAACACACATGAACACACATGAACACACATGAACACACATGAACACACATGAACACACATGAACACACATGAACACACATGAACACACATGAACACACATGAACACACATGAACACACATGAACACACATGAACACACATGAACACACATGAACACACATGAACACACATGAACACACATGAACACACATGAACACACATGAACACACATGAACACACATGAACACACATGAACACACATGAACACACATGAACACACATGAACACACATGAACACACATGAACACACATGAACACACATGAACACACATGAACACACATGAACACACATGAACACACATGAACACACATGAACACACATGAACACACATGAACACACATGAACACACATGAACACACATGAACACACATGAACACACATGAACACACATGAACACACATGAACACACATGAACACACATGAACACACATGAACACACATGAACACACATGAACACACATGAACACACATGAACACACATGAACACACATGAACACACATGAACACACATGAACACACATGAACACACATGAACACACATGAACACACATGAACACACATGAACACACATGAACACACATGAACACACATGAACACACATGAACACACATGAACACACATGAACACACATGAACACACATGAACACACATGAACACACATGAACACACATGAACACACATGAACACACATGAACACACATGAACACACATGAACACACATGAACACACATGAACACACATGAACACACATGAACACACATGAACACACATGAACACACATGAACACACATGAACACACATGAACACACATGAACACACATGAACACACATGAACACACATGAACACACATGAACACACATGAACACACATGAACACACATGAACACACATGAACACACATGAACACACATGAACACACATGAACACACATGAACACACATGAACACACATGAACACACATGAACACACATGAACACACATGAACACACATGAACACACATGAACACACATGAACACACATGAACACACATGAACACACATGAACACACATGAACACACATGAACACACATGAACACACATGAACACACATGAACACACATGAACACACATGAACACACATGAACACACATGAACACACATGAACACACATGAACACACATGAACACACATGAACACACATGAACACACATGAACACACATGAACACACATGAACACACATGAACACACATGAACACACATGAACACACATGAACACACATGAACACACATGAACACACATGAACACACATGAACACACATGAACACACATGAACACACATGAACACACATGAACACACATGAACACACATGAACACACATGAACACACATGAACACACATGAACACACATGAACACACATGAACACACATGAACACACATGAACACACATGAACACACATGAACACACATGAACACACATGAACACACATGAACACACATGAACACACATGAACACACATGAACACACATGAACACACATGAACACACATGAACACACATGAACACACATGAACACACATGAACACACATGAACACACATGAACACACATGAACACACATGAACACACATGCATGAACACACATGAACACACATGAACACACATGAACACACATGAACACACTTGAACACACATGAACACACCATGAACACACATTAACACACATGAACACACTGACACACTATGAACACACATGAACACACATGAACACAATGAACACACATGAACACACATGAACACAATGAACACACATGAACCACACATGAAACACACAGGAACACAGATGAACACACATGAACAAAATGAACACACATGAACACACATGAACACAATGAACCCACATGAACACCAATGAACACACATGAACACACATGAACACACATGAACACACATGAACACACATGAACACACTATGAACACACAGAAACACCACATGAACACACATGAAACACACATTTGAAACACACTGAACACACATGCAACACACATGAACACACATGAACACACATGAACACACATGAACCACACCATAACACACATGAACACACCATGAACACACATGAAACACATGGAACACACATGATGAACACACATGAAACACACATGAACACACATGAACACCACATGAACACACATGAACACACATGAACACACATGAACACACATGAACACACATGAACACACGATGAACACACATGAACACACATGAACACACATGAACACACATGAACACACATGAACACACATGAACACACATGAACACACATGAACACACATGAACACACATGAACACACATGAACACACATGAACACACATGGAACACACATGAACACACACATGAACACACATGAACACACATGAACACACATGAACACACATGACACACACATGAACACACATGAACACACATGACACACATGAACACACATGAACACACATGAACACACATGAACACACATGAACACACATGAACACACATGAACACACATGAACACACATGAACACACATGAACACACATGAACACACATGAAACACACATGAACACACATGAAACACCATGAACACACATGAACACACATGAACACACATGAACACACATGAACACACATGAACACACCATGAACACACATGAACACACATGAACACCATGAACACACATGAACACACATGAACACACATGAACACACATGAACACACATGAACACACATGAACACACATGAACACACATGAACACACATGAACACACATGAACACACATGAACACACATGAACACACATGAACACACATGAACACACATGAACACACATGAACACACATGAACACACATGAACACACATGAACACACATGAACACACATGAACACACATGAACACACATGAACACACATGAACACACATGAACACACATGAACACACATGAACACACATGAACACACATGAACACACATGAACACACATGAACACACATGAACACACATGAACACACATGAACACACATGAACACACATGAACACACATGAACACACATGAACACACATGAACACACATGAACACACATGAACACACATGAACACACATGAACACACATGAACACACATGAACACACATGAACACACATGAACACACATGAACACACATGAACACACATGAACACACATGAACACACATGAACACACATGAACACACATGAACACACATGAACACACATGAACACACATGAACACACATGAACACACATGAACACACATGAACACACATGAACACACATGAACACACATGAACACACATGAACACACATGAACACACATGAACACACATGAACACACATGAACACACATGAACACACATGAACACACATGAACACACATGAACACACATGAACACACATGAACACACATGAACACACATGAACACACATGAACACACATGAACACACATGAACACACATGAACACACATGAACACACATGAACACACATGAACACACATGAACACACATGAACACACATGAACACACATGAACACACATGAACACACATGAACACACATGAACACACATGAACACACATGAACACACATGAACACACATGAACACACATGAACACACATGAACACACATGAACACACATGAACACACATGAACACACATGAACACACATGAACACACATGAACACACATGAACACACATGAACACACATGAACACACATGAACACACATGAACACACATGAACACACATGAACACACATGAACACACATGAACACACATGAACA